GCCGCCGTTTGCTAACGGGTGCTGAAGAGGTCCGCTACCGGGTACTGGTTGATCGTGTAGTGATGCAGCGCTAAGATCTGTATTTGGGGCAGGCTGTATGCTTGTAGGTCGGCTTTGAGGGGTGATGTGACCATTGGGGACGGGGTGGCTCTGAGGTGGAGCTTGACCCAAGAAAGCAGCGCCGCTTTGTGGTGCAGCTTGACCTTTGGATACTGACCCGTTCTGCGGTGCAGCTTGACCGTTGGGAACAGGCGCGTTCTGCTGTGCTGGTTGGCCGTTCGATGTAGCGGGCCTGCTGGGATGCGTGGGAGTCTCCGTCCGCTGGCTCCGAAAGTTGCTCGAGTGCGTAGCAACACGAGTGGCGAGGGCGTGCAGAACCGCAACCCGCTCCTTGCGGCGGTCCCCTTCCAAAGTCCCCACGCTTAGGGCTGTCATTTCACCATCCTCGCCACTTTCGCCTGCATCGATCCACCGGATCGGTGATGTGAGGAAGAAAGTCTCGGCATCCCTTATCGGCTCAATGCTCAGGTGTTGCCTGATGTCCGGGTCCAGATTTGGCATTTTTCCATATTCATAGTCTAGCTTTCCTCCGTACTTCTTTGGTATATCTTTGATTTCGATGAAAGAGGAGAGCGTTGGTAGTATATCATGTTGGGCGAGGATGAATATCTTGGAAGTGGTGATGGGGTCGAACCATTTCTTGACCCAGCCCCAGACGACGGGGAAGAATGAAGGGGCGCCGATAACCTTGAACGCATCCCGTCAGCATTTCTGCAGAACCAGGGAGGCGCAACTGAGGGCTCACAAATATCCTGTCCAGAATTTCCGGGTAGTGAGCGGTGGCCAGTGTGCTCGCCTCCTGCATGTGACTTCGGAGGTTCCAAAATTGCTTCAGCCCAACCTTGGAGATATCAACGATATTGTTGGACTGATCGACTGGTGTTTCTGGATTCCGTCTTCCGGGCACGGAAGAACAGAGAGGCATGACAAAGCGGGTAAGGTTCTCGTAGAGGGCAAAAAGCCGAAGGCCGGGTGACTTGGTCTTGGATTTGGAGGTCGTGGAAGCATACGCGGTGATCTTCTTGTGGTCCAGCTTGCCAATCTCATATACATATATCGGTATCCCCCTCTTATCTCTTCGACCGGTCCATTGTGGGTACTGTCACGGTCAGCGCTATCTCGAAACTCGGAGGCGGATCTTGCACTCACGAACTGCCTCAAGGCCTGATACTCGCGTATATCTATGTTCTCGTAGAGTGCGTCGAGCTCATTCTCCTTGCGCCAAATCTCCGTGTCCTTGAATTGAATGTAGGCTTCTCGAGGGTTGAACTTTCGCGCTCTCAAGTATCGGCTTGTGATGCATTAGCCTTGTACCTCCGTAGGGCCTTGGGCGCAGGCAACTCTTACATGAGGGTACCATCATCGTGACTGGCTTTTCCATTTGCCGTTTGGGGCGTGTAGAAGCCCTCTTTGGCGCACAGCTTCTTGAAGTCCTCAAAAGCGGATTCCTCCTCTGGGGTCAAATGGCCGACATGACCTTTCAGCCTCGTCTCGGCATTGGCAGCTTCTGGGGGTGGCAGGCCGGGGGGACCACCAGGGTTGGAAGCTTTGTTCATATTGCTGTTTGAATGGTACCTGTGTGAATAGTTCGCGAACCAGTTATAACTGTATGTATGTTGGCGAGAGACGGTACAGTAAGCTTACTTTAACGTGATCAATCTACACCTTAGAGTCCCTTACATAAGGGTCTTTATTAGTAGTACAAATCCCGTAAGGTTGAATAATGCAAATGCATAAAGATACGTTCAGAATAATGCATCGAACAAGGGCCGGGTTTCGGGCAAGCTACTTTATACTGTACTGTACCTACATAATACTTTCATAAGACGGTCCAAGGTACCTTAAAGTTATGGTGGGGCAACGTTGATACTTCGGCTTTCGGAGCGGGTCCTAACTCCTCAAGCCGACGTACTGCAGAAGCCGAGCCTCTTAGCGTCTTGGCAGAATTGGAGGCCTTCAGTAAAACTAAAAGGACGCAAAGAAGCATCCAGCACTTTTAGCTTTCTTTCTTCATTCCTTCTATCATCCTATCGCTCGGCTCAAGCCCAGAGCTTCTGCTCACATCGAATCGACCACATCAACATATACCGTGCATACGAACACATGTCAAACAAGCTTGGTAGATCGATCTACGTCGTCATCTTCTTCCAACCTCGCGTGTCTGAAAAGCCAAGTGCACATACCGCCGACGCCCATCCTCACTTCTGCCACGCGAGTCCGCTGCCCTGCATCTTTAAAGTAAAGCACAAGTACTTCAGTATTTACTTTACTTTAGTACTCATCGGCTGCTTCTGAATAAGCGTAAAGTAAAGTATGTCAAATAACACTAGCAGCCACTTATGCTTTTCATATGCGGCTAGAAACGCCACGGAGATTAAGCGCCTATCGGCCCATTGGGCCGCTGAGCGATCATAATGCCGACCCTGGTCACCTGAACTCTGAAGTGAATCTGCTCTGATGAGCGATGAGCGCGATCAAAGTCTTGTCTGGAATTCATAAAATCCACCCACCTCTGGATGTCTGATTCACTTACCCTCCCTATCAACATCAACATCAATCATCTTCCCTTTCAAAAATGTTGCTGACGCCTTAGTGAAGTAGTAGAGTATACTTTACATTATACTTATGTAATGGCTGTCGTGTTCCGCTGTCTGATCAAGTTAAAGTCTGCGCTTAGATAACCTTGATCCCTCGTGTTGGTGGAGCCTGTCGAATCAGACTCCAAAAATCGTCCCTCGTGCAGACGAACCCGCATGTCAGACTGCACTTCTCGTGCCGACTATATAGCCAATGCTCGGGCCCCACGTGCTGGCTGCTGACTGCTCCATGTCCTGACTTGAAAAACCTGCTCCATCATCCACCGTCGTACCTCTCAACGCCCGTGTGATAGATAGCATTGCCTCCGCGGTGGTCTGACTGCTGTGCCCGGAAGCGACAGACGCGATGACTGCCAATCCACAAACAGCTCCTGCGAGAGACAACTTCATCGAGGCAGATCCTGATGTGAGCATCGTCTCGGGACACGGCCGAATGCAACACATGGCTGATGCATGCTCAAGCTCTACGATGCCTCTGATTCCAGCCTTGGAGATGATGTGTACGCTTTTGGCCATGTCCTTGGAATCTCAAGTCATCTGACTGCGCGTCATGCAGATCCAAGTACACTGCATCAATGACCAGTAGTATCGAGAGATATCCTGTAGAAAACGGTCGCAGGTAAAAGCCCCAGCCATGTAATCCATGGTCTGAGGAAACAGTCACTAAGGACCATGATTCCACAGATACCATGCGTATGTGGTCCAATCACTTCGGGGGCAAGGCTGACCGTAACCGACCTGAAGCTTTAAAGACGGCAGTGAGTTCTCTCCGTGTTGCTTAGAGAGTACACACGCTTACTCTAGGATTCTTAGATTACGTGCTGCCGAACGATGAAGTATGCCAACTTCCTGCGCAGGCACACTACCCGCTAACGCACTTTGAAGAGCGAATTGGATCGCCTCGACCTTACACACCAAATGTTACGCATAACAATGGGCAACAAGCTCCATTTTGCACCCATTGGCGAGAAACCTGAAAAGATGCTTGACATTGGAACCGGAACAGGTATCTGGGCCATCGAGATGGGTGACGACTATCCAAGTGCGGAGATCATCGGTACTGACTTGAGCCCCACTCAACCTTCCTGGTACAGCACATGTCAGCATCAGCCTTGTGTCACGGAAGCTAACGTATAAGGGTCCCCGCAAATGTCAAGTTCGAAATCGACGACGCGGAAGAGCCTTGGACCTTCCAAGAAAAGTTTGATTTTGTACATGTGCGCTATCTGGTGGCAGCCATTGCAGATTGGCCGAAATTGATGCGCCAAGCTCTCGAACACACCAAGCCCGGCGGATGGGCCGAGTTCCAGGACTTTGACGTTACCTACTATTCGGAAGATGGGTCCCTGAAGGAAGAACACGATGTCTCCAAGTGGATCACTACCTTGATCAACGCAGCGAATGGGTTCGGCAGAGATGCTTGTCCGGGCTCGAAACTGGAAGGGTGGATGAAAGATGCAGGTTTTGCGGGTGTTCAAAATGAGAAATTTCGCCTGCCTATTGGACCGTGGGCGAAAGATAAGCATCTGGTATGCTCTGCTCGTGATCATGTCGACAACTATGCCCTGTAAGTTGAACGTTGCTGACGCAAGACCAGAAAACGGTTGGCGCCTGGAATCTAGCGCAGATTGAAGCCGGCATAGAGGGATTTACTTTAAGGCTGTTCACGCAGTTCCTAGGCTGGAAGCCTGAGGAGGTGCAGGTGCTGCTTGCCAATGTGCGAAAGGATCTGCGAGATCCAAGGATCCACGCACAGTTCGACTTGTGAGATCATTCCTTCTTTAGCCGTGGAAATAGATCGCTGACAAGGGCGGACTTCAGCCACGTTGCCTACGGCCAGAAACCCAAGGTGGCATAGGTACGCTTGACGATTGAACGTTCAAGATCAAAGACCGAAACAAAGACCAACGGTTCGTATTCAAAGAAATGACCTCGACATAGCATCTGTCCCAGCGTTATGATATCTACGTGCGTTTAGCAAGACGACATCACACGGCCTTCTGTTGAATCTCAACTGCACTTGTACCTACTGTTGAATCTCGACTTAACCGTCTCCGTTCCCAAGCACCCCCTATTTCCATGAATCTCGGCATGCCCAACCTCCTGACTTCCCGTCATGTCATGCTTAGATCCAGCGCCTGATCCCTGGGAAGAACCGGATCCACGGTCGCCGCTACCCTCGCGAACCGTTTCCGGAGTCCATCGGAGTTCGAAAAACTTTCCCAACTCCGAGATACCTATAGCCCAATTTGTACTGCACTAGATGGTTTATTCCGCCGTCGAAAGCGGGGGAAAGTGAAGTTGCATTCTGTTCGGGTGCTCTTAATTAGGTAAATAAATCTTTCTGTGAGAATAAGCCCTCCCAATGACAAGGAAAACCAAGAAAGCGAATCGGCAGTCTTAGCTTAGACTAGTTTAGGGCTACTCTACTCTACTCGTAGGGCTGGGCTGCAGCCAAAAAAGTGACGAATCTCAATCCTTTCTATCCCTCCTTCACCACCTTTGATTTCCCATCATGGCGTCCTTCTCCCCCACCACTGCCCGCGCCAAGTTCCCCGCCCTCCAGCAATCCCACCAAATATATTTCGACAACGCCGGAGGCAGCCAAGCTCTAGGCACAGTCGCATCATCGTACGATTGATCCACCTCTACTGTACGACTTAGATCACCAATGCCATGACATCCGAGCTACTACTGCTCGGCTTGCTTGGAAGAACTGATTTCCGTATGCAGGGTGAAAGACTATCTCGAAGAGACCAACGTGCAACTTGGCGCGACCTATGACGTTGCGAAGCAGAGCACCGAGAGCTATGGGAGGGGATTGGAGGCCGCGGCGGGTTTTATGGGCGCTGCGAGCGATGAGATTGGTACCGCTGATGCCCGAATGGCTTACTACTTCCAGTCACTGACGACATATCTGTTGCAGTGATCGGCCCGTCAACAACCCAGCTCTTCTCCAACCTCTCCCTCATCCTCAATCTTTCACCCGGCTCCGAAATCATCATCTCCTCCCTCGACCACGAAGCCAACATCTCCCCCTGGGTACGCCTCGCTAAGTTGTACAATCATACAATCAAATGGTGGCCAGCCGCCCCCGCTTCTCCGACTCACACGTCCCCCTCCCCAATCCTCACGTCCGAGAACCTAAAACCGCTTTTGTCGGAGAAGACCGCGTTGGTCACATGCACGCATGCGAGTAATGTGCTGGGGACGATACACGATGTGAAGGAGATTGCGCAGACGGTACATATGATTCCTGGCGCGAAGTTATGTGTGGATGGAGTGGCGTTGGCGCCACACAGAGAGGTTGACGTCAAAGCTTTGGGCGTGGACTTCTACGCTTTCTCGTGGTACAAAGTTCGTATCACACCCGGCCCGGCTGTCCGGCCTTCTTTAGGGGTCTTGATGCTGACTCCACACTAGGTCTACGGTCCCCACATCGCCATCCTCTATGCATCCCGCGATGCTCAGCGCAACCTAGGCTCACTAGGCCATTACTTCCACACTGGCACCAATCTCGAAACGAAAATCGGCCTTGCGTCGGCCAGCTACGAACTCGTAGCTGCACTCCCTTCGATCGTCTCCTACTTCGGGCCCGATAAATCCGCAACATGGGCCGCCATCGCGGCACACGAGGAGAAGCTACAGGGCATACTTCTGAGATACTTGCGAAGCAGGGATGATGTGACAATACACGGCGAGAAATCTGCGGATAAGGAGTTAAGGGTGCCAGTTGTGAGCTTTACGGTTAACGGTAGGAGCTCGAAGGATATTGTGGATGGCATTGAGAGCAAGTCAAACTTTGGGTGCAGGTGGGGGCACTTTTATAGTAAGAGGATGGTGGATGATCTGCTGGGGCTGGGAGGTTGTGATGGGGTCGTACGGGTCAGTATGGTGCATTATAACACTGGTAAGTCTCCCTGTAGGGTGAAGCTTGTGAAGGAGGCAGAAATTGATGACGTGTCTAGAGGAAGAAATAGAGAGGTACGTAAAGGTGTTGGATGAGGTGCTGTCATGAAAAGTGGGCAAGCAACGCCTAAGGATTGATCGTGGAAAGGTACGGTGAGCATTGTCTGGTCTGCCCCCAAAAGCTTCAGCTGATCGATCCGCAGGACCTCGAAGGATCTCCTAGTGTTTGTGCGCCCGCTAGTTTTAAGCTTTATCGGTGCGTCAATCCTCGCTACATGAACTCTGCGCCCTATCTTCGACCGCTCCATTATGTAGTCAAAGAAAGTCGTTTAGACCACTATCCCGCACCTGCAGCCCTCCAAATCTCAGGCTCTCCCACCACGACCCACCCCATTATCCCGCGCCCAACGCGTTGCACTCCAGCCTCGCCTATCAACCGCACCATCCCTCGAAGACTTCTTCTTCTTCTTCTTCTTCTCCTTCTTCTTCTCCTTCTCCGTCTCCGTCTCCGTCTCCGTCTCCGTCTCCGTCTCCGTCTCCGTCTCCTTCTCCGTCTCCTTCTCCGTCTCCTTCTCCTTCTCCGTCTTCCGTCTTCTTCTCCCGTCTCCGTCTCCGTCTCCTTCTCCTTCTTCTTCTCCGTCTCCTTCTCCGTCTCCTTCTCCGTCTCCTTCTCCGTCTCCTTCTCCGTCTCCGTCTCCGTCTCCGTCTCCGTCACCGTCTCCATCACCGTCTCCTTCTCCGTCTTCTGCTAGTCTCAGTAGCCTCACGCAGTGGGTCTGAGTAGGAAACCCTGCCAAGCCTCATTTTTTTGGTGGTTTGGCTAATATAAGATATTCACCCCTGCGTACATATAGGCACTAAGTATCAGCCGCAGATATTGCTAACAATATATAAGGTACTATTAAAATTATGGCAACTACTCTACTCCTCCGCACTTTCGCGATACCTAAACTTTTATCTTGATAAGAGCGAGAAAGAGTCCGACCCGCTATAGATACTCGTTTTTTAGAATTCTATAAAATCGCCAAAGCGATATTCGCCTTACTTATACTTTCGTATACGAGAAATTAAATATATAAATTTTTAAATTTCTTTTAATTCGAATTATTAAAAGTTTTTAGACTTCGCTATTATATAGAGAAAGAATATTACTATAAGATATAGAGAGATTAATATTTAAAGTTCGAAGATATCTCGCTATCGCCGCTATAAAGAAAGTTAAATATCTAAATATCTCTAATATATTCTATATTTATACGAGCTCGTTTTAGATATATTAATCGCGTTAATATTATTTAAGATATATATATTATAATTTCTTTAACTTCTAAGCGAAGCGTATTTAAGTTAATATATATTTCTATAAAAGATATATCTCGAATATTTAACTTTTTAATTAAGAGTAATATAATAAATCTATCTAGATAATTTCTTAACTCGATTTATTATATAATCTTTTAATAATATTAAATATAATACGCTATTATCTAGAATTTTTCTAATAAAGATTAATTAATTAAAGATAAATATTATAAGCGTTAGCGGAGATCGCGATTTTAAATTAGCTTATATAATAATAATAAGTTATTTAATTTTAATAAAAGACTTAAATATTTAATTAGCGACCTCGATAAATTTATTCCTCTCGCGATTAACTTTAAAAAATTATATAATAATCGTAAAAAAATCGTTAAAAGTCGCGAATTTCGTATTTCGATTAATTATTACGAATATCTTATATAAAATAACGATTAATATAGCGATTCTAGGGTTTTCTACTTAGACTCTAGAGGGGGGGTATACCGTAATAAGCTTGCGATATGATTGGCCCCCGAAGCGAGGAACGAGTGTAGGGCTGGCCATAGGGTACCCCGCTAAGCGAGTCTGAATTACTGAGACTATCTTCTTCATCCATTTATTTACCCATCCATCCACCCATCCATAACATCCCAAACCAATCAATCCGTCTCCTTCTCCTTCTCCTTCTCCTTCTCCGTCTCCTTCTCCGTCTCCTTCTCCTTCTCCATCTCCTTCTCCGTCTCCTTCTCCGTCTCCTTCTCCGTCTCCTTCTCCATCCCCTTCTCCGTCCCCTTCTCCGTCCCCTTCTCCGTCCCCTTCCCACGATCCCCAACTCCCACGATCCCCAAATCCCACCATCCCCAACTCTCAACCAATAAAATACTCTCCTTCAACCCGCCTCGACCAAACCCAACTATCATCAAACCCATCCATCCATCCATCCATCCACCCATTCATAACATCCCCATCCCCACCCCTAACCAATCAACCACGCCTACCATACCCCCTAAGCACTTAAGCGCAAAAATGCCACCATCGTGCACCACCAATCCTCACGTCTGACCCCGAAGCCCTACGCGAAGCCCCCGATGTCGGATCGTTGTTTGGTTTTGGTTGTTCGTTGTTCGTTGTTGGGTCGGGTCGTGTTGGGGAAGGATGCCGACGGTTTTTCGTTCACGGGGGGGGGAGGGGGTGTGCTTGGTCGGGATGGATTGATTGATGGATGGATTGATTGATGGATGGATGGATGGATGGATGGATGGATGGATGGATGGATCGGCGCTGCCGGCTTCGGCTTGATGGGTCTTGTGGAGAGGGTGTGGGGGGGTGGGAAGGCTTGTTTTGTTTTGTTTTGTTTTGTTTTCCTTTTTTTTCGAGCGCGTGACGCGATCGGCTGGTGGGGGAGGTGAGGTTTCGTAATGATGGGATCGTCTGCTTTATCTGGCGAGTGTGAAGGTTGTATGTATGTATGTACGTAAGGGCGAGGGTGAGTGAGTGAGTGAGTCGATAAAATTGGGCGATCACGCAAGGGCAAGCACGAGGCGGCGAATGAGGAATGCGAGGTTGGAACGGTGGGGGGTTTCCCATGGTCTCGGGTGGGTGGAGTGTGGATGTGGGGAGTTGGTCTATTGGAACGAAGGCTATAGGACGAGGGTCGATGACTATGTGGTCTTTTTTTGAACCTCGGGGTGATTTGACGAGCTTTGATTCGTGGATTGGGGGAGAGGGGCTGGATTTGAGGGGAAGGGATTTGTGATGTGAAGATGATTGGAGGAGGGTGGGATGAAGTGGAATGAAGTGAATGGAGTGAGTGGGTTGAACTGCGATAAAAAATTGGAAAGGAGTCGAGGTGAAGCGAAGGAGTATTAAAGATAGGAAACTGGGCGGGCAGCATCGAGAAGAACCAGCTACGGTGAAACGATGATGACATACCGTGCCTAACCTCTGCATTCCTGGTCCTAAACACAAAGACGTTAAGAGAGACGTGTGATCCTGGATCTATCGCCAGAGAGGCTCGACCTCCCTCACGCCATCACCATACAAGAGATACTGCCTAAAAAGGCTTCTAATAATAATTTGCCAAGGATTCATGCGCCCGGCTCCAGTGTCCGTCTTTCACGCCGCGACGTTATCAACAAATACCCCTCGCTAAAGGGCCAGGTCCAGACCATCCAGGTAGAGATTCCCAGTCGAAGTCGTAGCCTTGTCCCCTTCTACAGGGTAAATGGAGATGAAACCCATTGCGTCCATACTCTCCAATTTGAGACCCAGCATCACGAAGCTATCTGACTTCAATGCGACCCTACCTCGAGACAAGGCCGAGTCGACAACAGGTTTCGGAGAATGCACCACGAAGGACGGAAACATCGACACGAGCGGAAAAACCGGCGCCGAAACGTGCAATCTCCTCGCAAATTCCTCATCCATTAACACCCCCCTCGCCCCCGGCACGACCCTCGAGAAGGTCAGCGTTCGACGCCTGGGGTCCGGGTCGCGGAACTTGATGACGAATTTCCGTATCCGACCACTGCGTGATCGATAAGAGGCAGCATCCGACGGGCATCTTGAACATAGCGGGTGTCTCGCTGGATGGGAGGACCTTGACGCTGCGGAAGAGACTCACGTCCCATCCCAGAAGCTCGTCTGTGCGCTACTCGTCGCTGAGTCTGTTGTACATATCGGTGCGCGAGCCTGTGGGACGGATACCACGCGTGCGCAGTTCCGGAGAAAGGACCGTGTCTGAGGGGAGGCGTTTGAAGTCGATGATTTGCTGCAAGGCTGGTGATGAAGTCATGTTAGGGAATTGTTGGGAGTGTCAGGGTTTCTTGCGCCGCAAGCCGATATATGAGGAGCCGATGGGCGGTCGATGCCTGCTGATGGGTCTGCTGTGGTCGGAGAGGAGGGTTTGATGGTGGAAACCTGGTTGGCGGTAGATTGAGGGTTTACGTTGGCCGCGTGATCGGAGCGATTAGGGAAGGAGCGAAGGAGTGCGTAGATACCACTCAAAGCTTCAAAATCTCTTTGAAAACTTCCACGATTTGATCCATATGGCGATCTCGCGCCTTCTCAAACGGTGTTTCCTCGTCCTCATCAGGAAGGTCCGCGTCAGCGCCATTCTCCAGCAAAAACCTGACAACCGCGTCGTGATTTTTCTCCGCAGCCAACGCGAGTGGTGTGTTTCCCTTCCTATCTTGCGCGTTGATCTCCGCACTGTTCTTGAGCAAGAGCTTTGCGACGACCTTGTGGCCTTTGATTGCAGCTAGAGACAGCGCAGTCCATCCCTCATTGTCTGCGTGCTTCACATTGGCACCTTTGTCAAGCAGCATCCTCACACACTTGGTATGGCCAGCGTCAGCTGCTCGCAGTAGAGGTGTCTGGCCGGACTTGTCTGGGACGTCAAGGTCAATGCTAGGCTGTTTGAGGAGCAATCCGATGGACTCTTCGCTACCTTCAGCTGCAGCCCATGAAAGTACGGTCTTCTTCTCATCTGTAGGTACGTTGGGATCTGCCCCAGCATCCAGAAGCATCTTCGCGGCTGAAAGGCGCTTGCGTTGAATGGCCTGATACAATGGTGTCTCACCCCACCGACTCTGGCCATTGATCTCAATATCCTTCCTTTCAAGGAACATCTGAAGTATTTCATCTCCGGCGGTAGACGCCATCCACAGTGGAGTCTGCTTGTAGGTCGTATCGCATTGATTTGCGTTAACATCTGCCCTGTCAAGCAGTAGTCTCACCACCTTTTGGTGCCTTCCAAAGATTGTTTGCAATAGAGGCGTGAAACCATCTTTCGATACCGCGTCTGGGTCAATACCTTTCTGCTGTAGCAAGAGCTCCACGACTGCGTGGTGACCGTTGTTGGCAGCTTTGAATATGGCCGTTTGCCCCGTGTAGTCCTTCAGATTTGGGTCGACGCTCGGCTGCTTCAACAGCAGTCTGACAACAGCTAAATGCCCGCCCTCTGCTGCGAAGTGCAGTGGTAATCTGTCACCCACGGTACCCTTCAGAGGATTGGCTCCCCTCTCAAGTAGGATCTCGACAATAGCTAATTGGCCGTGTTCCGCAGCTCGCACCATCGGCGGCCATCCGACATTATCATCTGCATGCACATCAACTCCCTTATCTAATAAGAGCTCCACTTCTTCGGTGTCGCCCTTTCGGATGGAATGGAAAAGCAAGTTTCTGAACTTTTTGTCGATCTCAGCGTTGATATCGTCTTCGTCAGCGTGCCCGTAATCCGGTCTCGTTGGCTTCATACGAGCCGCCAATTCTCGTAGAAACTCAAGGTCGGGTACGTTCTGGTATCTTTGAGTCGCATCGTGTAGCAATGTATCAACGGATTGCTTCATCTGAGATTGAATGGAAGAGTTCAGTAGATCATGCAGGCGCTGTACGAAATGCGCAATATCATCGATAAGACGCTTCATGCTCTGCTTGTCCACCGCGGCCCACCAGAGCTTTTTTGGGTAACTGTTTTTTGCTTGGATGACCTTGGCTGCAGCAGTGGAGGAGTACTTCTCGCCTTGGCCGAACAATCTCTTGAAGCGGCTAGTCGAAGTTTTTTCATCATCCAGGACAGCGGTCGCTTTCATCAGTGGCGGAGCTTTCTCCAACAGCACAAGATTATACTTCTCCTTCAGCAATCTAGTGTCGTTGGTAAGATTCTCAAGATGCTGCAAGGTATCTGCAACGAGCTTCCAATCCATAAGCATGTCCGCCTGGGATGGATCCTGTAGGTTGACCTTTTCTGCCCACTGCTCAAGTCTAAATTGCTCCCAGTCCAGCATGGAGCGAAAAATGTCTGCATCCCGCCCCAGGTTGCCGGCCGTCGAGAGCAGAACGAAGCCTTTGACGCATCCATCGAAGATCTGAAAAGAGAAGCCAATGATACTCACGAGCGTTGATGCAGCCCCAACAGCCTCGAGTCCGGTCGCCATCCTTGCAGACTGGAGGTGTGAATTTGTTGTATTGACGGAAAACGGGGAATTTCAGGGGAATATTCCTTGAAGATCTTGAAGCCGAGCTAGGCCAGACTTGGGCCGAATAAGCGAGACGGTTTGGCCCCCAAAAATCTGGAGATCTCTCGTCTTATTCTGCACACCTTGCGTGTCTGTTCTGCTGAATCTCCGTACCTCTGTGAGTTCAACGCGTCCGTAAGTTGTCCAGTAAATCGACCTCTTCGAATTAGAAACTTCTCATTGGGATCAACATGACAAGACGTAATTTTACGCGTCGTGGATGTTTCGATGAAGTGCATTGAGGTCCTAGGCGACTAGAAATTGGTGCTTGACGTTTGTTAATATGCATGCTGTAAAGGTATTGGGTTAGAAGTTGCTCGAGGTAAAAGCAACTCGAGAATGCGCAGTCAAGTCAGTTTATCAAACCTCATCGAGTCACCTCTTTACAAGTAGCGGTTACAGATACAAACTCCACGATCGGATATCGCTGATCCTCAAGAGGCTTTCAACTCATCTGCAGTGTGAGCTCACGACTCGCAGCCAAAGCCATCTTCAACAAAATTTCCAGAAACCCCCACTGGTCCACAAGCATTGGACCAGCCCCCCCAACTACATCAACCATCCTGGCAGTTAACCCCGAGGAAAGGCGTCTGGTCGCATGGAATTTGAACCCGACGGCACGGCCAACGTCATCGCAAACATGGAGAGTGGTAAAAATCAGGGGTACCGAAGTAGGCTTCCAGCCAATTGTGCCAATGTCTTGGAGGATGCTACCTTCAAAGGTGGTACTGGAGGGATGGGTTGTGATGTGAAGAGCCTCGATGTCCATGTCCAAGCCTATGTGGTGCTGGAAGGGTGAGGCGGGCCAGTCGCCCAAGCGTCTGATAAACCCGTTCCGAGAGGTGATAGTACTGTGTTCTGGGATGGCAATCGCAGAGTTCAACGTCCCAGAGATAGAAAATGTGCAAAAGCTAGGAGATGAAGACTCAGACGGGGAAGATTGGATAACCAAGGGTTTTTTTCCTTTTTGCCACCGGTTGCAGGAGAAGGCAGGTTTGAAACATAGCCAAGAAGAGCCCTGTTGGGGAAAAAGGTAAACTCGCACATATACGCCGAGTCGCTAGCTGCTATCAATCCGTACGCACAATAGCATTTTGGCGGTCAGACATGGACCCAATGGACTGATCTTGCCAATCAGATTGACACCGTATGTTGCCAATCAGATTGACAGTGTTCCGCACAAGAATGGTGTAGGAGGTTGTTGGGAACTTGCGGGATGCGGAGAGTCTGCCAGCTGAGAAGGAGAAGGCAATCTTTTATATGCAGAAGCGGTTCGAGATTTATGTGATTGTTCTACCAGTGAGGGGGAACAGTGCTGCGGATGGCTCTAAGACGGAGGCGAAGGAGGATTGATGGGAAGCAGGTTGGACGGACGAGGTCATGTTCATACAACCTTAATGCTGGCAGACGAGGCCAAAACCTGCATTCTTTACAACTTGGAATCCTAAGGTGATGCCCTAAATTGCGACACTTTCGTGCGCGACCGATGGAGAGCTTTAGCTTGGCCAAGGCCTAGCTTAGTGCATTTTACTAGCGTCCTCCGAAGTTTAGCCTGTTCTTGCAGCCTGTTTCCTCTCTCTCACCTTTTTTTTGGGTTTTTTTTTTGGAGGCATCTCTGTTTCTGCTTCTGCCGTGTCAAGTCCGTGAGACAGAGAGGATGCAGTGGATGAAAGTGTTCCTTGATCTGCGGTGGAGTCGTCCCCTCTCAGACCCATTGCGGTTGATGCACTTGGTGTGCCAATATCGAACCCCCTCTGTATCGTTTTTGGGGAATTGATGTTGATTTCCTTTTTTTTTTTCCTTTTTTGTTTGGGGAGGGGTCCTGATGGAGGAAACATCGAAAGCACGTGGTACAGTCCTCCCAACATGAGGAACACGAGTTGCAGAGGCTGTGAGAGGTGATGTTGCATTAGACAGGTTTAGCAACGAATTTCAAAAGAATGATTTAAAGCGGGATCAGCCCTACTCTTCTACCGCTAACTCGATTAGGCAATATCACGAACTTCGGCGAAACCTTTATCGAAGAGTCACAAATCTCTTTGAATTTCACTTATTCTTCTTCTTTCACTATATATATACCTTATGAACTCCTTCAATAATGGGGCCCTCGTTGCGACGACCTTTACAGTTATATTGCTAGGCTATTAGGCTGTGATCGCCACTATATTACGTTATAGATATATCCCCCTAATAAAGTACGAGCAGACCGATGTTAAGGAGTTATTGTGATTTGACTTATATATGCGTGCGATGTAAAAGATATTGATTAATCTATGCGCCCGCAGGCATCTCATAATAATTACCCACAAAAATAGAAAATGCCATGTCCTCATGGCAAGAAGTATGCATGTATAGTTTTCGAATATCGAAAAGAAATGGAGACACCGGGCTAATTAGTGGTGTGTATCCCACGAAATCTCCTACTAGAATGAAAACTTTCGAATAATGAAATAGCTGTCGAAACAAGACATCGAACGGTTTCAATTCGTTTAAATATGTATCGTTCGATAGATGACCCCGCCTGTAGAGGTTTAATTGGCTATAATCGACGTAGTAGATCCTTCTCTTATATGCTTATTGTAGTGATATACTATAATATAATATTGCCTAGGCACGCGGATATAGCAGCTAAATTGTAATATCGTTCTCCGCCTGCTAAGTGGTGATTTGACGTGGAATCGTGGAGAGTATATGTCGTGGGATTTTGGAGAGCTGAGCCGTGTTCTTGATGATGGTGGTCTTATTGTCGCTTGGTCTCTCCGTAGTGTTCTCCGCATTTGCCTACTACGGTAGTCCCTCCTCTTACTTAATTGAGTACTCTGGCTAAGTGGCTGACTGAGTGGATAACTGAGTAGATTAATATAAGACTGTGGAGAGTAGACCTGTTATATTACTGCTGCTGCTGACTATCTCCGCAAAATTCTCCGTACTATATTGCTCCTCCTCTTGTTGAGTAATTAGCTGAGTGACTGGCTGAGTAGCTGACTGAGTGAATAGTGTAAGATCGTGAGAGTAGACCTGTTGTGTTACTGCTGCTGCTGACTATCTCCGCAAAATTCTTCGTACTACATTGCTCCTCCTCTTGTTGAGTGATTAGCTGAGTGACTAGCTAAGTAGCTGACTGAGTGGATTGGTGTGAGATCGTGGAGAGTAGACCTATTATGTCACTGCTGCTGCGACTGTCTCCGCAATATTCTCCGTATTTACCTACTATAGTAGTTCCTTCTCTTACTTAATTGAGTGCTCTAGCTAAATAGCCGACTGAGTGAATAACTAAGTGGATTGATATAAGACTGTGGAGAGTAGACCTGTTATATTACTGCTACTACTGACTATCTCCGCAATATTCTCCGTATTTGCCTGCTGTAGCGGTTCCTCCTCTTACTGAATATCGGGTTGGTGGAGACGGAAGAGTAGGTTTGTTGTATTACTGCTGCTGCTAACTATCTCTATAAAATTCTCCGTACTATATTGCCCTCCTCTTGCTTAACTAAGTGCTTTAGCTAAGTGACTGGCTGAGTAGCTAACTAAGTGAATTAATGTGAGATCGTGGAGAGCAGGTCTTTAATCGTAGTCCGACTATTCGCTCCGCTCATAAAAATTCTCTATACTATATTACTCCTTCTCTTACTCAACTGAGTGCTCTGGTTAAATGGCTGACTGAGTGGATAACTAAGTAAATTGATATGAGATCGTGGAGAGTAGGCCGTGTGTTACTCTCACTACTGCTGCTAACTGTCTACGGCAACCCATTTCGACCAGGGGTTAACTACCGAAAATCCATTTTCCATTTTCCATTTTTCCATTTTCCATTTTCTAATATTCGCTTATCCCACAATATTGCTTTATATTAAGGTAATTAATTTAGATTCTAAAGAGTGTAAATTATAACGCGTATTCTATAATATAGTTTAGAATTCGAAATTATATGAATTAACTTAATATTAACGAAGTAATATTTAATTAGAGGTTTTAAAGCTATCTATCTTAACTATAGTCTACTCTTTAACTAGTAGTAATAACTCTATAGTAATTATAGAAGCTTTAGATATAATAATTCTAAGTCTTCTTTCAATAATAGAATACTATTTAATAAATTACATCTGAGTGTTATAGAGCCATCGCTTATGTTTTAATAGATCGATAAATAAATCGGAAGGTAGCTATGAAAAATGATTTTGCGATTTTACGATTTTCAAAAATTCGAAATTGCGGGGTTAACCCCCTGGTCGAAATGGGTTACTCTACTATCTTCGTAATTTCAATTTTATATGTCGAAATAAGTAGTTACGCTAACGCCGTATAAGGTAACTTTACAATTAAATCACTGTTTTATAATATAAAATAGTGATTTAATTCGTAGGTGATCGACGAGGCTAATAACTACTCTATATGGTTAGTCTATTGAATTATTACCCTTTTCGTTTTGAATTATTCTTTTGAATCACATTGCTAAACCTGTCTATTGGATCGATGATGTCGAAGGGCAGGAGGGGACACTCTATGTCTTTCTCCCACCAGACATTCTATGCCAGACAATACAAAGGGCTTCCGGATTCCAAGTCCGGCCAGATCATATCTGCGAATCAGAGTCCATTCTCGTCTGAGCTTCGGAGTGCTATTTAGCTAAGATTCTCGTCACCGTGGCAAGCCGCAACATTAGCTCTGTCTTGGAGTTTGGGAACCTCGAGCCGGGCAAAGTGTTCCAGACCTTTTGACGTGTCTTAGATTCTGGAAATTTCCAATTGATTTGGAGGCCGAGCTGGGTTGAAGATGGTACATGCAGTGGTGGACAGCGATCAGCAATCCCCTTTCTTAGCAGGCAATTGAATCCTGGAGCCGTTCAAGGCAAGGCTTGCAAAGCACAAAGTGCTCTACCCCACGATCTAGACGGGTTCGCATTTGTGTTATTGCGACGAGACGGATCGGCGCCTTCGTGGGACGAGTATGCACAATCCAAGAAGGTTACCGGTTATGCACAATCCGCTTCTCGCCGGGACTGTTCGCTCTCGCGCATTTAGCCTCCACATGCATCATCCCCAGACTCTTATCGGAAATTTTCATGCATGCAGTGGAGCGATTAAAGAAAATGGCCGTGTTTAGACCGAAAGTCTTTCCCTGCATTTATAGTACCTGTCAAGATACCTCTTGCCCTTCCTGATGTCGGTACGAGGGTCTCCGATGTCGGTACTAACCAGTCAGCTTCGAGAGGATGCTGTCCTCGCCAGACACTAGAATGCCTTTCAAATTCCAGTTTTTGGAGTCGGTCATTAAGGCAGGAGATCTAGTAATTTGATTGCTGCTCTATTGTTGATCCACCAAAGCCATGGAGTTAGCGTTCTGCGGCTACCGAAGACCCACTTCAAAAGAGCCGATGCTATGGATACTCTAGGTATGAAACACTGGACGTGCTGTGCCCGCGGCAGAACCCTCAAGATACATGAAGTTCCCAATGTTCCACAAGCCAGAAGCTTGGACGCCAACAATTCACAACTCCCGCTCTCGGCTGAACACCCTTATACTCAGCCTACCGCTGGTCCAAATCTTTACATCGCGACTAGCTGACATCCTTACTATGGGTTTTGTATGGTCCCCTCAAGTCGTGCCTTACGTTCCTTGCAACAAGCCGCCTCCAACCATTTTCGATATTCAATGCCACCCTCGAGCGGACGCAGTTTGTGCCGAGCTTGATAGCTTCTTCATGAAACATTGGCCGTTCAAGTACCAGAAGGATAGGAACAGGTTCTTCACCTCCCAAACCAACCGTTGGGGATGTTTGGCATTTCCCATGGCTGATGATGACCGTCTCCTGGATACCGTCAAGGTGAACACATTGCTGTTCCTCCTTGATGGCAAGTCTGCCCGTTGGTCATATTTATAGAGTCTGTAAGCTCATATGCTTTTGGATAGACGTGGCAGAGGACATGAGTCTCGAAGAAGGCAAGAGGCTCTACAAGAGGCTGATACCGATCGCCATGGGCAAAAGGCTCCCGAACCGCAGTGACCCTTACGAACGGATTACCTATGACGTTTGGACGAGTATGCGTGCTTGTGACAAATAGCTCGCGTATCAGGTGCTTCGGGAAGCCTCGGTTTGCATCACTGCCCAGATTGACTCGGTGCGCTTTGAGTGTCCGGACATGTGATCTTTGCTTAAACAGCGGATCAAGGAGGGTGGCTGCGCGTGAGTACCTGCCTCGCTGTCTCTCTTGATGTAGTAATCTAATGACAGCCATTTCAAGCTTTATCGCAGCCTGCGTACGATACAGCTCACAGCTGCGCGTGCCCAACGAAACATTGGAATCACTGGAAAGGATCCACGAAAGCTACGGCAAACTCGGCATCATTGTCAATGATATCCACAGTTTCGAGAAAGAACTCCGTTTGTGGAAGAGGGACCACAAGGAAGGTGCGAAATTGCTGAACATCGTGAATACAATGTCTATAGATGCTGGGGTATCATATGCCACGGCAAACGCATTTTGTGGGTTCTCTGTCGGGAGTGGGAAATTTATCATTAAGACATGGTGGCAAAAGCGCTGGAAGGTAAAGGAGGGACTGATCCGTCTCTCAAGCTGTATCTCAAGGGTCTAGAGTATGTGCTGGCTGGGAATGAGTATTGGAGCGAGACTACCGAGCGCTATCATTGGCGTGACTGAGTTTGAAGAAGCTCAATCACGGTAGTAATTGGCGATGTTTGCCCAAAAATGGAGAATTTTGATGCACTATCACGACTCACACCAGTGGTTTATCAGAGTAGCGGAAACTTGACTGTCCATGGGAGGAGGAGGATGGAATTTGAGATTTAGCTTCCTCTCAGCAGATACTCCAGGTCCGTTGTAGCATATGCACGTTGGGGCGAGTAATGTGTCATTCCCTGAAACCATCTGGTATCTGGGCCTCTTCGGTCAACTAGAGTAGATGATGATCATCTCAAGGAGCAGCGAGGGATGCCTCGCTAGCCAAGGGTTGAGAGGCTCCCTGGTCAAGCGGGAGGCTTCCCTAGCAACTTGTGGTACAGCGAGACCATTCTTCGACACCGACAATCTGTGGCCACCGGTCGTCTCTCTCTCTCTCTTAGTACCAACGGCTGCGCTGTCCACTATGGTGGACCTCTTCGGTGGAACGAGACAGTCAGTCGTATCCTGACTCGCTGGTGGAGAAAAACCGGTCACGGTGAAACATGCAGGATGTCCGCGTGCCATATCCACTTCGGGAAGGTCTACGCACCTCAGCTCAACGTGCAGGCTCAGCCAGCCACACCGTTTTCACAGGGGGCAACGGGCATGGCTTGAGCGGAAGCGTTGGGGGTTTTGGATGCATTTCATGGCTATCTCTACGTCGTGTGACTTAACATGATACTATCACTGTCCGGCAAGACGAAACACCCGTCTGCTCGTCATGCCGCCGAGCACGGCTTACGGTATATACGCGGCACCCGTCTCTGCGGCCCCGATAGGTTTGTGCATACGAAGGCATTGGCGGATTGGGGTTTCACACGATCACGACGATTGGACTTGCGGGGCTAACGGGTTGATTGCCTGAAGCCATTTACTGTGTGGAGACACGATCTGCGCTCAGTTTGGAAGAACGGGAGGCCAGCGATGGTTGGTTTGCAGTGCCGACAGGTGCATTGAACTTGAAGCCACCAGTATGCGGAGCCATGTCTGAACCCAGCTGGATGTATGCATGGACGTGGCATTTTTCTCGGTTCTGTCCCTTCAACTCTCGGTCTCTGATAGTCGTCGTTCCTCTCATCCGGACACTACGCCTTCACCCCCTCTTCAGACGAGCAAAGCAGTCTTGGACCCATCAAACGTGCGGTCTACACGTCAGTCAAGACCAGGTCGAGTGGGATGTCCGGGAAATGTCGGTAAGAAAAGGCGGACTAACGGTCTAGAAGCCTGTTTACTAGGTGTGTCTTCTCGTACTGGTGGATGAATAAATTCGACATGGTCAAGGTCTCTCACAAAGTACCTTCATCCTTCAGCGATCCCATGAACGTCGTTGTCGATATGTCGAGCCTGGACCTCGCCATCTTAGCCTTCGTGATGCGTATATTACCATCTTTTAGGTGCAGATATGAGTCAAAACCCCCAGAACCGGAACCAGTCGAACGACAACCGGTCGAGTCAAAACCTCACGGCCCACCGCAGATTCCGCCATTCAAATTCAGTATCACACCGCCATCTACACCGGTGGAAGAGAGTACAAATCGAGAATCGGGAGAGGTTTCGTCATCTACGGCGGCCGTTAGTCACCAGGCAGAAACGGAGAAGAAAGAACCATCGTCATCTCCTAGATCGTTCCCACTGAGACGGTATTCAAGCAAGAAGGCCGAAGACGCAGCACTTCCCAGCCCACTTCCATCTTTAAACAGCAAAAAGTATATCAAAAGCAGTGCAAGTATACAAAGCGATACAGCGGGTAAGCCCATCAAAATACGGTCGACGCAGGAAGACTCTGCGTTCAATTCTTTCAAGAGGCTCTGTGAGGCACATGGCCTTTTGCAGAGACCTGTACGCCTGGCGAGCATGATGGGATTGATGGAATCAATGATGAGGCTATCCTTCCGTACGTGCCTTGTTCCAAGTTTAGAATTATCCCCTCTGGACTAGGGTTTACTGTGCTAACATGAGTGCCAGACTGTTCTTCTATGCCAAACAATGCGACGTCTCCGTAGCCCCCCGACAGTTCAAGGAGGCCTCCCTGGCCCGAGAGGTCGATCGACTTCGCTCCTTCTACGAGAAAATCGATGTTCATGCCTATGAAGAGACAAGAACCCTGGTAAATTCACCCGCTCATCCAGACAGCAGGATAATTGAACATTTCACACAGTATCCCCATTGGATCGGCCGCAGGGACAAGAGAGGCCAGCCGATTTGCATGTTCGATGTCGCGAAGCTGGACTCCAAGACCATGGCAGCATTCAAAAAGTCCTCGGCCAAAATGGAGGTTAAAGGGTCGGATTTGAAAATGCCGGGCATCGTTTCGACGGAGATGTTACGTGCTTTTACCATATTTGATACGCTGGCTCGGTTCGTGATGCCGCTGTGCTCTGCCGTCCCCAGTAGAAAGTATCCGGACATAGCAGTCACAAAGACGCTCTGCGTCATCGACATCTCGGGTATGGGGCTTCGTCAGTTCTGGAATCTGAGGGGGTATCTGCAGGATTTTAGTAGGCTGGTCGGGATCAACTATCCTGAGATCCTCGACCATGTTCTCGTACGCTTTTCACCTGCATCACTCCGTTTCCAGTCGGTCACCACTGTAACAATATCGCTAATTGGCAGGCACCAGGTCATCGGAGCACCTTCCTACTTCCCAACTGTCTGGAGCTGTATTCAGAAATGGGTGGGCGCCAATATCGTCAAGAAAATCCACATTTTGCAGCCGTCGGAGGTCCTGCCTACGCTGCAGAAGTAATCTGATATGCAGAACATTGCCAAGAAATTGGGCGGAGACTTCAAGTACGAACATGGCATGCAGCCGAAGCTTGATGCGGAGGTTAGGGAGGTATTGAAGTGGTTACCGCCGAATGCTTCGCTACCCATAGGGCCGTTGAATTGGCTTGACGAAGGGAAGGAGGGTCTGGTCATTGTTGCTGTTGGCAATAATAAAGGCATGGAAAGGGGGGAGAAGGTCGCCAGTCTTCATTCGGGCCAGAAGTCGATAGCATGAACGAAATTACCTTTTCCGCAAACCTCGTCCAAAAAGATCGATGAGCATGTCGTTAGCTCGCTGTACACAAGTACTGAGTCATCGAACTGCAAGACTCTGGGGTCTGCAGTCGGCGTTGATGTTTTCATTCTCACACAAAGCGTCGTAGAATTTTCGTCATCTTACTACACACTCCTTCAGACACAATGGCAGACAACCGGACAAACAGCATGCATGCATACACTCAAGCATGTAAATATGCTTACTACAGCATCATGAACAACAAGTACTATTTCACCTTTGAAGCCAGAGGCTATCCTGAAGAGGAAGAGTTTGGACATCTAGGTTTCATCAAGCCCTATTTAAGCGAAGTTAACCCGGATCGTCCTCTTGGCAGACCACTCAATCACACTCAGAACCAAGCAACCCTCCTCCCAATTCCCAAATTACTCCCAGCAAATTGCCTCGACGAGGACCAGTACCCATGGAACATCCTTTGCTTTGGACCCGATAGCTGCGACTGGGATTGCCAGCGCCACTCACTCTACGAAGAATTCAACGTAGCCGCATACAAGGCACCGCGATCTTCCATTCTTGTTCACCGGGATCCATCAGCTACACAGAGCGCAATGTCTACAGTGACAGGGACCTCGCTGCAGACATCATACCCGTAAGTCAAAGCTGCCTCTGCACCCTTCGGCGAGCTTCTCTGACGACCCTATGACACGAACAGGCCCGTCCTTCCCAAAGCGTTCAACGCAAATCAACCTCGCACCATCCGCCTCTTCCCTCTCAGCAACTACACCTTCGGCACCAAAGAACACCAGCCAGAAGAAGATCCTTCGGTCCTTGCGCGTCTGAAGCGATTGGAGGAGCACTACGACAGACATGGCATGCGCCGAACCTGCGAGGGCGTCCTAGTCTGCCACGAGCACAACCATCCACACATTCTGATGCTGCAGATTGCGAACGCGTTTTTCAAACTGTAAGCCACCCCTGATCCCAGCCTGACCCTTTCGAATTTGTAGCATGCGTTGACACATGATTTATCGGCAGACCAGGCGACTACCTCCACGCCGATGAAGACGAAATCGAAGGCTTCAAATCGCGTCTCAACGAGCGCTTGGCACCGTCTGGGACCCAGTTCTCAGGCGAGGGGGTCAATGATGAGTGGCAGATTGCGGACACGCTTGCGCAGTGGTGGAGGCCAAATTTCGAGACGTTCATGTACCCGTTCTTGCCGGCGCATGTGACGAGGCCGAAGGAATGCAAGAAGCTGTATTTCATTCAGTTGCCGAAGAGCAGTACGTCTTTATCTGCTTCCTTTGCAAGTGGAAGTGACAACTAATCGTGACGTGCAATGCAGAAGTCCTCAGCGTCCCCAAAAACATGAAGCTCCTCGCCGTCCCTCTCTTCGAACTCTACGACAACACCGCCCGCTACGGTCCTCAACTCTCAGCTATTCCGCATCTACTGTCGCAATACAACTTCGAATTCGTAGATGAGAATGGAACTGTGGTTGCGCAGACTCCAGGTGGTGATCCTGGACCTCAGAGTCTCAAGGTCTTGGCGAACGAGCAAGACTTTGAGGAGACGATGAACGGGGATATCAAAGAGGAGAATGGAGTCAATGGAGGGGGAGATGATCAGGATGGCGCTGCTGCGGTCCCTGCGCACGAGCAGTGAGTCTGACAGTCTACGATCGGACGGAAGAGCAAGCGCAGTCCACTTCGGCCTGGCCAGTTCGAGAGCAGGAGGTTTTACGCAAAAGCACGAGCAATTCGTCTTGGTCATTCAATTCATGCACACAGGAGTCTATGGAAAAGTCACGGCTGGCTGACGAAGCCTGGTCAAGTCGTGAGCGTGTGAGCATTTGGCGTGGATTCGATATTTCAGCCTCAAAGATTCCCATAGAAGCGATTCATTTCCAAAGAGCGAGTCCTACTCTCGCATGCTTGTATGTAGAAACAAGTAAAAATAAAATGTCAGACGATTTAAATAGATATTCCCGCCATAGATCAATCCAGTCAGCACCATCCCCCCACATCCCCACACTTTTCTCCAACCTCCCACCATAACTCTACCCCCACTAATCCTGCACCCCCAAAATCCCACACCCTACACCTACACCTGCACCCCTTCTCCACACCACCTCCCCACAACCATGATCCTCATCGGCCTGACCGGCTCCCTCGCCACCGGCAAATCCACCGTCTCCACCCTCCTCCGCTCCCCCCCCCACCACCTCCCCACCATCGACGCCGACGCCCTCGCCCACCGCGCCATCCTCCCCGGCACCCGGGGCTACACCCTCATCCTCTCGCACTTCGGCCCCACGACCCCGGACCTGCTGCAACCCCTCGACCCCAGCGCCCCCCTCGGCGTCGGCGCCAACGCCACCCGGCCCATCGACCGGGCCGCGCTCGGCCGGCGCGTCTTCGGCGACGGCGACGCCCAGCGCCGCGACCGCGCCGCCCTCAACGGCATCGTGCACCCGCTGGTGCGGCTGGCGATGGCGCGGGAGGTGCTGGGGCATTTCGTCCGGGGACGCTGGGCCGTGGTGGTGGACGTGCCGCTGCTGTACGAGTCCGGGCTGGACGTGTGGGCGTCGGTGGTGATCATGGTGGCCGTGTCCTCGCCGGCGGTGCAGATGCGGCGGCTGCGGGCGCGGGACGCCGGGCTGAGCGCGACCGAGGCGGAGGATCGGGTCGGGAGCCAGATGGGGGTTGGGGAGAAGGTGGGGCGGACGCGGGCGCGGGGGCCGCGGAGGGGGAAGGTGGTGCTGAATGATGGGGACGGGGGGGATTTGGAGCGGGCGGTGGGGCGGGTGTTGGGGGAGGTGAGGGGGGAGGGGGGCGGGAGGGCGTGGGGGTGGTGGTTGATGGGGAGTCCGTACGGGGTGGCCGGGGTGAGTGCGTGGGAGGTGTGTCAGGGGTGGAGGGCGAGGAGGCGGTGGGAGGAGGAGAGGGCGGGGGAGAAGGCGAGGTTGTGAGGTCGGGGGGATACTACGGCTTTTGCGGAACGGAGGAGAGAGGACTCGCTGCGCTTGAGATGAGACCTGCTACTTCTCTCGATGCAGGTGAGGAAGATTGGCGCGAGAGGGAGACAAACGCTTTTGCAAAACAGACTTCTTCTCTTGATGTCTCGCTCAGTCCCCGCTTCTCTTACAAACCACCATCTGTGCATGTGAAGTTTCCGTCGGAGAACTTGGCTGCGATATGAATACTTCCATCGACAGCAACCATTTGGCCCGGCATCTTTAAAGCCAGACATTCTCATTCTCATTCCCGTCCTTACGCGGTCAGATTCTCGTCTTACGATACATACATCTCTTTGATTGGCCAACCAGTAACAAGCAAGAGACTGCACTGTTCCTGGACACAACCCGCGGATGCCCCAAATCCTTAACAACTATCTTCTCGCCGAGACCAAGCGCTGAACGTCTTTTCCCAGACGTCGTATCACCACCATTGATCTGCCAGTCTTCGGAACATCCTATAAGTACAGCGTCGGATACGGCCATCAGAGCCATCATTCTGCCAGCTCACAAGATGTCCTCTCGAGAGACGGATTGATCTCCTAGACGACCCTGACACCGATCCGACCGCATCTATAGTTCGTATATCGCAAGAGTCGTGTCCTCATTGCTAGAAAAAGCAAAAGTGTACACCCCCCAACCCTCTTAGTCCGCAACCGTCACAGCATTCAAACCCGCAGCCGATAGTAACAAGCACCACATCCCCGGAGCCGTCCACCGATTCATTCCCTCTCTAAAACCAGCACATACCAGAACCTTCCGCTCGAGTCAATCATCATGAATCGCACGCGCGCACTCGCGAATCGGCGCGAAAATCCACCCGGAAACCGAGTTCGAACAAAGTCACGTACCAGTACCCCTATCGCCAGGGCTGGTCTTTTTTACTGTTGTTGTTGTTGTTGGTCAGTGGACAGTGGACCTCGCCAGCTACCCCGACTTCAAGACTTTTCATACGTCCTTCTCGACAGAGAGACCAAATGGAGAAAAGCCCTGCATAGTCGCCCGATCGACGTGGGACACTCGGACGCGGATCAATCACGTCGGCGTCTTTCACGGGCGGCATGACTTTCAGGTCGAGATGGATTATGTTGTGCACGCTCAAGCAGCGGAAGAAGCAAAGGAGGAAAGATTGAAGGAAGCAAAGAAGGAAGAAAAGAAGGAAGGAAAGATTGAAAGAAAGGTCCAAGACGGGCTACAAGCCACACCCCCCCCATCTCCCTCCATCTCAACATCATCAACAGAGCCGACATCAGCCTCTACACGTTACCGCCGAACGAAAAAAAGAAAGGGCCGTCCCTCGATCCCTGGTCAGCCGGTTTACAGAGCGACAGATGGATACTGTCATTACGCTGCTTGCCCGCACCGACACGGAACGGAACGGAACGGAACGGGCGTTGATAACGAAGGGAGTTTCTGGAATATAGATACATCTATGCATTTGGTAAGTGTGGTTTTTAAGATGGGGAATAGGCAGATAGAAGGTGAGATGGTGCGGGTCGAGGATTCGGCATCGGTAGCGGAAGTGAGGACTGAATGATTGCATGGGATAGACTTCCGTGGAGCTGATTAGGGAAAATACGTAATAGATAAAAATCCACGGTTGCCATCTGGCGCGCAACCCATCACCGCAACTGTCGGTTAAACTCCTGCAAGGCGGCGGAGGAGAGATAGAGCGGGTATCTCAGCTCGCCGACTTTGGCTACCGCGCTCGTCTGTACGCATCATCGTCGTCAGCGCTTCCTCTCTCAAGAAAGCATCCCAGCAGTAGTGACAGAACGTAGCACTCACAAGCCTCTCCCTCACACCCTCCAACCCCTTCAACCCCCACCCCCTCTCCCTCATCCGCCCGAAATATTTCCCGAAAACGTTACTCGCGCCCGCGGCATTACTCACGATATCGTACATCAACGCCGAATCAACGCCCAACGTTTCGCAGAAAGCCATCGCCTCGCTCATAGCGGCGAGATGCACCCCGACCATCAAATCCGTGATATCATCCACATTGATCGTCGACGTTGGGTCCAAGGAGCCCTCAGACGCCTTACCAACCCGTTCCGTCACCAGACGCGGCCTCCCGGGCAAGTACAACCTCACAACGACGCAATCGTCCTCGGCGCCCCACCCCGCACCGATCGCGCTCAAAAACAACTGCTCCGCCACCGCCACCATCGGCAGCGGGAACGTCTCCTCCCTCGCCGTACCCGCAATGATGCCCACATCCTTCGCGATGATCGTGACCGCGCTGTACCGCCCGAGACCCGGCTCCAGCATGAACGGCACCCGGTTGCCGAACATCCAACTGGCGCCCTCGCCCTGACGCAGCTCCTCAAAGACCCTCTTCGTGTCCAGCCCCGCCGCGGCGGCCAGACCCATCGCCTCGCTCGCCATGGCGATGTTCACCCCCGCGAAGATCTGATGGATCAGTTTCGCCTTGCTGCCGCCGCCGAGCCCGCCGGGGACGTGGTAGAGTTTCCTACCGTCGCTCAAGCAAGCGAGGATGGATTGGACGTGGGGCGCGAAAAGGGCGTCGTGGGCGCCGGAGGAGAAGACGGACAGGGAGCCGGTAGCGGCGCGGGCGGCGCCGCCGGAGACGGGGGCGTCGATGAGGCGGATGTCCGACCGACGCAGCTCGTTCAAACGCCGTTCGAGCTCATTGATATACGCGGGCGCGACGGTCGAGCAGACGATGATGGTCGCGTTCTCCTTCAGAGCGGCCACGGCGCCGGCGACGGGGTCGAAAAGGAGAGGGTTGGCTTGGAGGTGGTTCGCGACCATGACGAGCATCAAGTCGACATCTTCGGCCGCTTCGCGTGGCGTGTTGGCCGAGGCGCCGCCTTCGGCGACCAGCTTGAGCATGGAGGGTTGGTAGACGTCGTAGCCGATGACTGGAAAGCCGGAGCGCAGGAGGTGAGTGGCCATGCCGTAGCCCATGGCGCCGAGGCCGGCGAAGAAGATGGTGGGGTTGGGGTTGGACATGTTGGACGGGTTGTGGAGGGATGGGAGAGAAGAACGAGTCGAGGTTGAAATGGTAAAGATATCATCGTGTATTGCTGGGAATCGAAAATTGAAGATGAGATACTTCACTTAGCCTATTCACAATTTACCCAGCCCAGCAGCTTCCCCACCTCTGACGTATGCGATAATCTCTTGCTATAAAAATCGAAGATGGAGAAGCTTGTATAGTTCCTGCACCTACATAACCTCTCCGTATGTCAGCGATCATATACAGCTGGCATAGTCACAAGTTCTACGAGTGATCCATAAACTCAAGGAAGAACCAGAAGAGAAGAGATTCTAGGCTAGCCAAGTCTTGCTTAGCGTCTTATTGACCGAATCTAAACCGCAAAACTTCCTGCGCTACAACCAAAATCTAGAAAACCTCGTCGCCCGAGCGTCCCAGAGTTCTAGGTAGGCGACTTGTAAAGGACGGATATCACAGGATTCGAGAGGTGTCTATACCTGATGGTCGAAGTCCCGACGAAGACTCTTTCCGCAAGGTGGCATGCCAGCAATGTTCATTCCCAACGATAGAACTTCTGGGTCTAGTGCATGTCGCCCTGAATTTTCCAGGGATTTTGGCCGCTACAGTTTGGACTCGGTATCCAAAAACTCGCTCAGATCGGTTACGGGTTTGCGTCCTGCTGTCAGCTGCAACCCAGCTTTGAATTCGCGTACGTTCTCGATGAGCGTACTCTTCTTAACAGGTGGTGCCTCGGGCAAATCCTCCATGCCGTCCACCCCGTCGACGGACTGTTTGACTTCGATACCCAAACTGGGTAAGACGGTTCCCAGTAGTTGCTGCCCTTGCGCCAAGACACCGTTTGCCTCCTCCTCACCCATCTCCACGTCTTCATCGAGATATTTGGCAACAGCATCGATAATGCCGGCTTGGTCTCCACCTGTAACATCCACGCCATCAAAACGTTTAGTGAGCTTTTCTTGGTCGGCATCGATCCCCATGGCGGTCAAGTATTTTCCAAGCGTAGTCACAACCTTCTCCTTTTGTTCAGCCGGGGATACGTTGCCAGCTACTTCTTTAGGCGATGATTGCGCAATCATGTGTACCGAAAGTTTAGCACGAGATGGGGATGTAGGGTTGATGTAATGGTTGAAGAAGTCAATGAGGTCCGATTTGGTCAATGGCTTCAGGTGCGAGACGTCGTGTTCCCGTGATAAGAAATCGAGATATTCGTTGCTGATGTGGCTCCAAAACCGAGAACTCTCCTGGTCAAGGTTCTTGATCTTCTCCAGCCGCTTCGCGATAAGACTGCTTTTATGGCTCTCAAAGTCTTCTGTCGACATGGCTTGCAGCGACTTCCCAAAATGTGCCAAGAATGCATTGATCCGCTCCTCGAGGTATTCTGTTGGTTTCTCGGACTGGATGATCACTCTGTAGCCCATTGTCGTTGCTTGCATCTTTACGCCCGTAAAAACAATATAGCCAAGCTGTTCCTTCGTTCGTAATTGATCAAAGCCTGCCTCTTCCGTCATCTGCCCTAAAAGTAGAAGCTTCGCCCGCAAGATCCTGTCAACAACGTCTCCAACAAAGATATAATATTCAATACAATGGTTGACGTTTGCGGGATCGCCTAGCTTCCGCTCGAACGTATAGTCACTACCTGGTGAGAGTATCAAATTCCTGGCCATTTGCCATTGTGTCACGGGTAACGCTCGTGGTTTGAGGGTAGATTCGACAAGGTCGGTTATTCGAAGAGCATCTTCCTTGTAGATGTTTCCATGACAGAGTATCTCAAGGTGCACCTGGCGAAGAAGTTGAGGATAGAAACTTGAGATGTCCTCAGGGGTGAGGTGCGCAACCTCAGCTAGGTATTGTTCGTTGATCCATGCTTTGTCGGAACCGAGCCATGTAGTGAACTCGCCGACTTGGTGATAGGGCTGCTGGAAATCCCAGTTGCGATAGCCCCTTAGTACTCGCTCTTTCACGATCTGGAACCTGTCCGGCTTCACTTCTAGATCACGCATAGTCACAAGAACCTTCTCCAACAGCACGGATATCTTGTCGTTGTACCCACTCACGTCGATTCCAATACCAACGTAATAGTCCCCGAGCTCATATTCGAGACCGGCTATCTCCGCGTCATATGAATATTCACCAAGGGCATCTTTGACAAGCTGGCAGAACATCCTCGTCTTGACAGAATTTGATGGGAGTGCTGCAGCCAGTGGATTCCGCAGAGTAACAAAAACGTTTGCTCTGGGCACCCAGAATTTATCATCCTTTTTCCACCAGGTGCGAACAAGCTCATCGTTGCGAATGAGTTTTGGAGCCTTCATGATCTCTGCGATCTCCTTTTTCTCGACTGTCAGCTTCGATGGTATGAACTCGTTCCGGTGTGGGAGATGGAGCTCTGGTATTCGGTCTTTTGATGTGACCTCTTCAGCTTTTGTGATCGCAGCGGCAAAGTCGGGACTGATGTTTTCGACTTTGTACTCTGTTCCGTACCACTTCTCCTTCATGGGCCAATCACCGGGATACTGTTGGCTGACGATGGTGAGTCTGTAGTTGTCTGCTTTGAGATATCCCAGGGCTGTGCTTATGGCGTCTCCGTCGAACTTCCGTATCAGATCTGTGGCACTGAGAAGCCACTCTCGAGGCAAAGGCTTTTGCATTGTGCTGCACATTGTCCTGACGAAATTACTCGCAGAGCTCTTCTCCTGAAATTTGAAGTCAACCTCTGACATGCCCTTGACCTCGTCGATAATCCATTTCTGAGGCGGACTCTCCTTGATCAGAGATATGTACTGAAACACAACTTCCACAATTTCCCGATAGACCTTCAGACCCTCCTCAGTCAGCTTGATCGAGACTTGGAAAAGCGCTGACCCAGGGCACACAGACGTGGGCCCTGCGGAAAGGCCATTGGCCCATCCCTTGGCCTTGGTGTATGCAAGAATACTGCCTGGACCTTCATGTCCAATTAGGTGACTAATGTAGCGGCTTGGCTGTGATTCGTACAAGTTCTCCTCGTCTTGGTATGGAAAGCAAATGTCCAGTGTTCGCTGGTCCATGACGGGCTTCGCAAAGATTTGTGTCATCAACTCATTTTTTGTTAACGGTTGCAGTCCATCCCATCGCTTTTGTGGCAGATCCTTGTTGTGGACGCCAGCGAATAATTCGCCAACCCACGTCTCCAATTCATCCAAGGACTCTTTCCCTAGCACCACCAGCTTCATCCGATTCGCCGAGTAGTGCTTGTCATGGAACCGTATGAACTCTTTCCGCACATCTACGCCTCTCTTCCTTGGCTCATCTCTGAGCGTGGCTAGATTACCTGTAGAAAAATGGTGATATGGATGCTTCTTGCTTGAGAGGGACTTGCTGAGCTGTGATAGTCGCCAATTGTCGCTTTGTAGATTTTTCTTGTTCTCTGAATCGACTGCTTTAAGTTCGCGGTCGAGAGTAGAGGAGAGGAAGAGGGGTGATATGAAAAATTGGGCGAATCGATCAAGGGCTCCATAGAGTGGCGGCGATGGGGAGCCGTTTGTGGCATTCCCCGAATCAACTTCCGTAGAAGCGGCTACTTCAAAGTAGTAGTTTGTTTCCGTAGCTGCAGTATAGGCATTGGAGTATCCAGAATGGGCTGAGAGGTATTCATTGTAGTCGTTCTCTTTGGGGTACTGATGACGATTAGCAATTGCTAGAATATAAGCAGTAGATTTACCTTTTGCGTGCCCATGAAGAGGAGATGCTCCACAGCGTGGGCCATACCTGGCATATCATCTGCATCACTAAAGCTTCCAACGTTCACATTGACAGCCGCGCCAGCTTTGTCTGTGTCTGGATCATGGACCAGGAGAGCTTCGAGCTTGTTTGGAAGTCTGATGACTCTGTAGGATCGATCATCAAGCGCTGGAGCCTCCAGCTTGTCTGTGAGGCGCTCTATGGGAGGCATCCTGGCAAAAGAACGTATGGGGGATGTCCCAAAGCGGAGTCGTAGAGTGAGCGTTCTCGCAGTGAGAGTTGCGCTACGAGAGCACGCAGGACCATACAACACAGCGCTCGCAAGGATTACAGAACGAGCGTAGAGAGTAGGTCTCACGTGAGACATGTAGTCACAAGCGAGGAAGGGGGAAGGATACAAGGTCCTCTATCCCGTCCCTGCCATGTTAGTTCCATTCTCGTAGGGCTGAGCTAGAGATCTCTCCGAGATCTCCACTTGGAGGCGACGAAAAAAATGCACTACTCTAGGGAGGCGCCGAAATCGCAGAATTTCATCCTCATCAATCTTTGTAACTTGATAACGAAACGACGTATCATGAAAACTTCAGTGCAAGGATTACTTCTCGTCTTCCAGAAGAAATTCAATGTCTGCTGCGGTGGCCCAAGCTCCTCTGAAGAACCTTACATACCCCAGCTCGTCAACTGAAGGGTCGCGTTGGGTGTTGGATCCGTTCAGTGGGACTAGGGCTGACTACGTTCCGCCATGGACTGGAGAGACGCCTGCAAATGCGACTTCGGAGTGACAATTACCGGTCTTCAGTAGTTAGGGAACTTGCTGGGTTCAGGGATGACGAAGGTCACGATAACCAGCCAGTGGAGCAGGGAAGGGGTAACGTGAGACTCGCTGCTGTCCTGAAGAATAACAATAGTCACTAGACAGAAGCGATCAAGACGAGAAGTGCGCTCTGCATTCGCAAAATAGCCGATGGCCTCGCTCTCCGAAGTGTTTGTGTCAACCGAATACACTTGCACCCTTCATCCTTTTTGTTTCAAGTCCATTGAAGCTTAAACCAGAATACTCGAAAATCCCTGCTGTTCCCCGGGCTGTTCCCTACTGAAAGTTCATCTGACCCCAGCAATCCACCATTGACATGTGATAAGTATACATAAAACTCTTAAAAAAATAAAGAAAATCCCTGCTGTTCCCCGGGCTGTTCCCTACTGAAAGTTCATCTGACCCCAGCAATCCACCATTGACATGGTGATATAGCGCCGGCAAACGCATGACTTAAAGTACACCTCTCCGTAGTATCTCTATTCCGATGTCAAACTCGTATTTGCATCCTAGCACTGGGACCGGCCACTGGCACAGCCGCAGTGGACTCGGCGATTGGCTCGAAAACGACGGATGCGGACCTATATCCGATATCCTGAGGAAGTTTTTTCTAAACACAGATAGTGTCAGCGGCAAGCGATCGCAATGCTCCAGCGGCTCGCGGAAACTCACATTCTATCTCGATGCTCTTCCGCCTCTATAGTATCGCGGCCTACTTCCTGCCAAGTCCCAGGTCGAACAGTCTGCTCGACCAACTCCGGATCCTGATCACGATACAGCACAATTCGGACACCGGTATGCTCCATTATACGGTGCACGTATGGAGCGGATGCAACCCGATAGCTCATTGTCGTTGGATCGCTATACTCGAACTCCCCCCCCTCTCTCCTTGAACCAGCCCAGACCATAGGTGAACCACTCCGGAACATAGACAGTCTTGAGGTTCGGCAGACTTGAGGTGCTCGACCTCAAAGGAATTTGGGTCCCCGTCACAACACGCGAGATGGATGAAAACGATCGATCCACGACACTCTAAGCCCATCTTGGGAAAAAGCTCATTGAGCACTTCCATGTCGCCGCAAAGATCGAATGAGCAGGTCAAGAGAAGGTCCACGAGTATGCGCTGATTGATGTGTGCTAGGTCGAGAAAACGCCGACACGAATCTGTTGGCTGGACCTCAAACGGAAACCCTGTCCGGTCCGTCACTCTACTCAGCTCAGCGATAGGACGACTATAACGAATGACGGCCGGGAACCGCATGAGCTTCTATTCTCTCGGACTCGTCCACCCCATTCATTTTGGAAAGGGCGGATGCTGTGCTCTGAATCTATTGTAGCAATTCTGCAATATTTGCCGTACTTGTGCGCGTCCTTTCTTTAAGCTTGAGTGCAGTGTGTAAGATTTGAGTAAGCTTTTCTGTGGCTTTACTATGACCTGTCTCTCCTCGGACTATTTTCAGCGTGCAAAAATGGCCGTTATGGTCCCTGAAATAGCACGAGTATATGCGCATACGCAGCTCGAATAGTAACACACTGAATCGGTCCATCGTGTTGATGAACTCGATATTATATTACCCAAAAGAACGGCTTCTTTTAACTCCCGTGCCTTGCCTTGAGGGCGGTCTAGGCAACAGTAACGTAGGAACCTTTGCAAGAAAGAGTCAGCCCCAGCAGCCCTCCATCCTCATATCGCCGTATAATCGAATTGGCCATACCGTGGCGTACTACCTGTTTAGACACGAGAACAAATGCGCAAGCCAAAAATACCACTAAAAGCCCCCATCTATACATTCCCCGCCCAGAGTCCATTGCCCATCGTGGAGTCTGCACCGTCAGTTCTGGTGTGACATGCAGCGTCCATCTCCGTCCGCAAGGGACCGGTAAGCTCAGGCTTCTCGTATCCGCAATACACGTGACCTGCGGCTCGACGGCAGATCAGAACAGCTAATCGGCGAAACTTCGGGTCAGAAACCACTTTACGCGTCGAAAAGTCGCGTTTCTCCACAGCGCGCGACATCTCAATTCTTCTTGCCCATCCGTCTTCTCCTGCTCATCGCCTTCTACTAAACATCAGAAAATCTTCGAGAATGGACCGACAATCAGTCTACTCACTCAGCGTCCTTGCTCCAGATCCAGATGCCAGTGAAGATTCCAGAAGCCAAACACAAGCCCGTTTGCGCGAGTTCATCCTAGAGTTCCGGCTCGACAATGCCTTCATCTACAGGTTTGCCAACATGTAGGGCTCGCTGGCCAGCTGCTGATGTTGAGATTCAGAGATCAGATTCGAGAGAATGTTCTAGTGAAACAATATTACTGCGACGTCGATATAGCCCACCTCATATCTTATAACGAAGAGCTGGCGCATAAGCTCACTACACAGCCAGCAGACATCATACCATTAGTACGCCCGTTTGCGCGAATGGTTTCTAGGAAGTCGCTAATAGCTTGCAGTTCGAAGCCGCTCTCAAGGAATGCACCCGCCGCATCGTCTTCCCCTCACAAAAAGCCAGCGACCTTTCCATACCCGAGCACCAGCTTCTCCTACACTCCTCCGTTTCCCAGATTTCCATCCGCGATCTGGACGCGACCAACATATCTCACCTTGTCCGCATACCTGGAATAGTCATTGGTGCCTCCACACTCTCCTCCAAAGCCACAGCACTCTACATACAATGCCGAAACTGCCAGCACTCGGAAACGTTGCCCGTAAGTGGTGGGATATCGGGCATCACACTCCCGCGCGTATGCTCCAGCAAGAGGACGCCTGGAGATCCAACAGACAAATGCCCTCTAGATCCTTACTTCGTGGTACATGAGAAATGTCAATTCATCGACCAGCAGATACTGAAGCTACAAGAAGCGCCGGATCAAGTACCTGTGGGAGAACTTCCAAGACACATCAAGATCTCTGCCGATCGATATCTAACTAACCGCGTGGTACCTGGCTCAAGGTGCACCCTCATGGGGGTCTTCTCTATCTACCAAAACAAGGAATCGAAAGGATCAGGAAACTCCGCGGTAGCCATCCGAACACCGTATCTACGAGCGGTAGGCATCACAACAGACGTCGATCACACGACCAAAGGCAGCGCAATATTCTCTGAAGAGGAAGAGCAAGAGTTCCTCGAGATGAGTAGACGACCTGACCTCTACGAAAGATTCGCCGAGTGCATTGCACCCTCAATCTACGGCAACAAGGATATCAAGAAAGCTATCGCCTGCTTACTCCTGGGGGGATCCAAGAAGATTCTGCCAGACGGTATGAAACTTAGAGGTGATATCAACGTCCTGCTACTTGGTGATCCTGGAACAGCGAAATCTCAACTTTTGAAGTTCGTCGAGAAAGTCGCACCAATCGCCATCTACACATCTGGCAAAGGGTCCTCAGCAGCTGGTCTGACAGCATCGGTGCAACGGGATACCAATACCCGCGAGTTCTACCTTGAAGGAGGAGCTATGGTGCTTGCCGACGGCGGTGTGGTCTGCATTGACGAGTTCGACAAAATGCGCGATGAAGATCGTGTAGCCATCCACGAAGCTATGGAACAGCAGACCATCTCTATCGCCAAAGCTGGTATCACGACCATCCTGAATGCCAGAACATCGGTGCTTGCGGCCGCTAATCCAATTTTTGGGCGATACGACGATCTAAAGACGCCGGGCGAGAACATCGATTTCCAAACCACTATCTTATCTCGCTTCGACATGATCTTCATCGTGCGCGATGAGCATGAGAAGGGACGCGATGAGCGGATAGCGCGACATGTGATGGGCATCCAGATGGGCGGACGAGGAATGGAAGAGCAAGCAGAAGCTGAGATATCGGTTGAAAAAATGAAGCGGTATATCAGTTATTGTAAATCGTAAGGCCCCTTTCCCATCTCACATTCCGCCCTCTTCTTTGGTCCCTGCTGAGCCAGTATGCAGACGCTGCGCGCCTCGCCTCTCCCCTGAAGCCGGCGAAAAGCTCTCTTCCCATTTCGTCTCCATACGCCGACAAGTCCATTCCGCCGAGATCTCTGCCAACGCCCGCTCCAGTATTCCAATCACGGTCCGCCAACTCGAAGCCATCATCCGTATCACAGAATCCCTTGCCAAACTCTCACTCTCGCCCATCGCCCTCGAATCTCACGTCGATGAAGCCATTCGCCTGTTCTTAGCTTCAACGATGGACGCAGTGACGCAAGGAGAAGGGCAGGGGAGTAGAGAGGTGATGGAGGAGGCGGGCAAGGTCGAAGAAGAGTTGAGGCGGAGATTGCCCGTAGGTTGGAGCACGAGTCTGGCGACGTTGAGGAGGGAGCTGGTGGAGGGCAGGGGATGGAGCGAGCAAGCTTTGAACAGGGCGTTAGTGGTGCTGCAGAGAAGGGAGACGGTGCAGATTCGGAACGGAGGGAGTCAAGTATATAGGAGTGGGGCTTAGCGAAGGAATCTAAAGGGGGACACAGGACGAATCGATTAGTGCAAGCATGGAGAGCTAGGGAGTTTTGTGCCTTGTAAAATAACGATTGCTAGCTAGCCTTGAATTACTCCCCTGATCCTGGTCTTGATTCTACCACCCAACCCTCGTCGACTTTCATGAAATCGTCTCCTCGTCCCCCATCCCCCCTCCTCGAACGTCCTTATCCGCACACTCCCCTTTCAAAACCGCAAATCCTCCGGATTCGAAACGATGAGCCCCCTCCCCACACCGGATGTCGTAGAACTTGTCCCCCGGCAACTTGGGCATCCCCCCGATTTCAAACTCCCCTTCCGCCATCCATCCACCGCACGATTGAAAACCTCGCACAAAGGTCTTGTGCATCACGAGCACCATCCCTTCGGCGGTCAATTTCTAGGACGTCTCATCGGAAAGTACTCGCATGTAAATCACTGCAAATTCGAACGCTGACATCTTGAGATTATTACCTCGAGGGGCGGGTAGCGAAAAAGCCCGCACACCTAAACTACGAAGGTCTTGATAACTTCGCAACGAATGAGTTTTGGCTGATAACTTGAGTGCAAGAACTCTTTAGAATTTCTTTATCTACTCCTTGTACCGCAAAGTTTTTTTCGTTACAGTTGTGGCTGATAAGTTGCGTCCCTGTCGAATAATTTAGGGTGTACGGGCTTTTTTGCTCCCCGTTCGATTATACGAAAGTGAATGTTGCCGGGGATGGCGTCCCTTTCCTTCTATCGTGATACACACTTCTCCTGTTATCTGTTCGTTCTCCACTCAAAAACACCATCGGACTAGAACCAAACCTCGGTTTCCCCACTACTATCTATCAGTGGCTGAAATCAAGCCCCCACCGTCTTCGAATCCACCATCGCACTTGTCCCTGCTCACTCCACCCACTGCTGTTCTTGATTTTCTCGATCATCTCGCTTTGAAAAGCTCTCTATCTTGGATATGTCCGTATCTTTCATGATAGTGGCGGTTTTTCAACAGTGCCAAGGAACCCACATAATTCACTCAACGCTGCTTGAACGGGCAAGAGTTCACGCCGTCTTGACTTGGGTCCTTCACGATGCGTCCAAGAATGAAAGTTCCAGATTGGCTTATCGCGGACCAACGAACACTCAAAAGGCATGAATCCGCTTGCTCCGAAAGATTCTGTCTCCTTTATCCCCAGCTGGAAAATTCGCACCGAGGGCTTCCAAGATGAAACTCACCAACTTCATCTCCTTACTGTTGGTCTTTCTTGGTCAACTCAACCTTATCAACGGAGGGCAGGTTGCTCTTCGACCTCGACCGAAGACACCGTTACTGTCCAGATCGATTCCGACCAATGGCTCGATCTTCGACCCCACGGACGAGGAGTCCTTCTACACGGTTGGGGGTGAGATTGAATAAACCCCTATCGGAGCCTCAGATGAAAAGTTTCTAACGAATTCTACGTTCTGTGCTAGACGATCCGAAGACCGTCATCAAATCAATCCATCAAGCTTCGAAGCGCAAATATGTGAATTTTGAGAGATTCGAAGACTACCTGCGGCCCCAAGAGAGACTCTGCACGCCCTCGGCGGATAACAAAACCACAGTACTGACTTTCCCTCTGGATCGTGCGCTCTATCTTGCCGCTCGCGAGAGATGGGCGGGGGAAACGAGGCTCGTTTTCATCGGTCACGACCCTTCTTGTTACGCTCCGGAAGAGGAGCGATCTTCGTTCAAGTAAGCTCCACCAGCGCAGTCTATAATTCCCTCATAGTCAAAAGCTGACCAATCTAAGGTCATTGTCTATTGCATTCGACGATGCTTCACAGACCATCCGGGTCATTGGCAAACCCTTGCGTTTCGGAGACAGGCACTTTCCTGCGCCTACTGAACTAATTGTTGGCAGGGCACCCCGAGATGTCGTTCTGACTTCTCGTATGACAAGTAAACAGGACCGTCGGCCGCATTGGGGGAATGCTCTCAAGTGTCTCAAACACCTAAAGAGGTGCATCATCAAACACCTTAATCTTGATTTCGATAGCCCAGACAAACACATCAGTTTTGACAGCGAAGAAAACGAGCCGCGCAAGAAGTATTGGCCACCAGAGTAAGCGAATCGAAACCCTTCTTTCTAGCGGCTTCTCAGGAAGGTATTGACATGGATATAGCAAATTAAAAGAGGACACAGGGGTCCCCGAATTATTTGAGTTATACTGCCTGGAATGTAGGACCACCGGTGGGGTTGACCAGGAGTTTCATATCATTTTCAATCCGGTCAGTGGGTCTGACGACGACGATGAGAACGACGATGAAAAGGATGATGACGACCATCACCATAGCCGCCGCGATGATGATGATGATGATGATGATGATGATGAAGGTGACTTCCGCGAAATGTTTAAGAACCACATCAAGCGCGCTTTCGTCAAATACAGCGTGAGCGATGAAATCAAGATTCGGAAACAAATCGAAATTCTCTCGAATGTGGGAGCGGACTTATTCTGCAATGTAGCCCTCGTCGGTACCGCTCCTCCTGGTACCATGTCATGCACCCCTGCATACACCGGAGGAGGCCTACAGTGGGAACCGTCCTCTGCTCCGGAGGATAAAGCTGCTCGTGCAAAGGCGACGGGCCCAAAAGAGGTTGGGGATCCGAAGGCGGGCTCTGGCAAGACCAGTGTGAGTTTTTTCATCCCGTCGTGTTTTGAATGCTTGATGACATGGCGAAGTCCTGGGGCTACTCCATCTGGCCCATGGACGTCGGCATATATGTTTGGATGGATCTTGGCATTTCGACCCAAGTCAACCTGTAAGCCCATCCATCTACACGACACAAAGGTGGCATGTCGGCTAATCATGTAGGACTCTGCCGGGGTTTGAGGCGACGATTCCGGTCGGGTCCGAGTTCGAGATTGATGTAATGGGGGGCGAAGATGGGGGCCCCATTCACACCACCAACTTCGACCCCATCATCGAGATATTGAAAGCAGACCTGTCCATTCAATCCACCGAAATCCACTACAACATCGCCGTCGGGCCCAAAGCTGGGATCAACATTGGACTTCCAAAGGGTGACCTCGGGATCGGGTTTGGGGTTAGGCTTGACGTCGTTAGGGTTGATAACAAGTGGTCGGAGTATAAAAGTAAGCGGCCCCCCCCTGCCCTCTCTGTGAAAAGACTCGAATTGAACCATTCCCGTGCCATCGCACTCCGCAAACCTGACCTCTATCAAACAGACGTCACCAGTGCTTGCACCGAGCCCAAAGGCGGCGAACAGAAAGACGGCGAGCCCAAAGAGCGGGAGGAAGCGTTCGAGAACGCCTTTGGCTTTACCATGGATTTGAAAACGGGCATCTACGCCTTCCTCAACCTCGCGGGCTTCTACGTCGACACGAATTGGATCGGTGACAAGGTGGGCAGCGACTTCTCCGGCCTCTACTGGGGGATCAAAAGCCTCGTCGCCAAATGCGGTGACTGTGGCGAGGAGCAGTGTCTTTCGCAAAAGATCAACGACGTCCTCGACGTGGCGATCGACGGCCTCGGGTTCATCGATTCGACGTTCCGGGTCAGTGAGTTGACGGACAGCGATCACGTTTCGAAGGACAGTATCCTTTCGCTCAACGACCAGATGGTGGGAGAGGATATGCCTACCGGAAACCCGGACGTGGCGTGCTATGCGAAGCCGGCGTCCGGCATCTCTCGTCGCACAGTCTTTGGCGATGAGGATGTCAACGTATGCCAACCGAAATAAAAGGCGGAGCTGTCGTGGAAAGCTAGAGGAGTCTTCGGTGGTGTTCAGATTTCTATGTAGGGTAATTGTAATCAATAATAATAACAATTGTACTCGCAAGGACAACTTCCAAGGTCATTTTCTCAAGACTCAAGAACGACAGGTCAAGTCAGGCAAACTAATCTAGACCAAGCCATCTGCCGCCATCCAGCCCGAGTCTAGCCGGCAACGCCCGGCCATCAAACCAACGCCTACCTCATTGACTCTGCCTGCATCGAATACGAACATTGTAGAAGACGGTCGCACCACTTCTGCTCGCTCCTCGGTCACGAATTGAGGATGTTGGGCGATCATTGGTGGGGGAGTCTAAATGCCGACTCTGGCCAATTTTCATCACACCTGTGCCGGTTCTTGACACTCGCTGCCACCCTCTTGACCCCACGCAGTCGTGCGTTCCTGTTTCTGTACTTCTATAACGACTTTACTCTACGCAGCCAATCACGATGCGAATGTATAAATAAATCAGACTTCGTGTTGAAGTTCTCTACCTGGTGCTTGCTGTGGGCACTGGACATAGTTTCAGTTAGTGGGATGACTTTTTGTCGGTAGCTCCCGTAATCCCGTCCAAGGCCAGCATCGCTTAAAAGACTCAAAGACTTCAATGCCAAGAAAATGGTGAGGTCATCGTGCATACTTTAACCACACGACGCGATCACGTGGGGAGCAAGAAAGACCCCTCCCGACCCCTCTTTGGCCACGTCATATGTATCCATTTGCCTCCAAATACAAACACAAACACAAACGACCAAATCATACAGATAATCGTATCCAAACCCCATCATCAATACCTCTCCAGAAAAACATCTTTTTACAAAGTAAGTCCTAATGTCCACCGTTTCATTTCTTTCAACAACATCACCCTACTGACTCTCGCACACCAGCAATCATCCAAACCCCTACTCGATCAAAATGGACAAAGTAGGAAGTAAGGCAGGCTTCCTTTCCGCATTTCCTTCAGCGAGAACCGTGCTGACACTTCCTTGTAAGGTGTCCTCGGTGGTACGGCGGACACAGTGGGAAAAGGCGTAGGAGGTGTAACCAACACGGCCGGTAACGCTGGTAAGAGACTCCGCATCTGACTTCTGGGTTTCTTTCTCGGCTTGACTCTTGATCGTTATGTACATTCTGTTTCGCCCTTTTCTTCGTTACGCCCCTACGGACATGTTTCACTATCTTTCACTATCGCGACACTATAAGTCGAATTCTACAATCAACATTTCCTACCCACTCCGTTCTTTCTACGTCTGATCCTTCAAAATTTCGCCTGATCTCTCTCTCTATGCATGACTTATGATGCACGCGTACGCTCTTGAAAAGTCTGACAACGCACATAACCACAGTCGGTGGCCTCGGCAACGTCCTCGGTGACACCCTCAAGGGCACAACTGGGACTCTGGGTGACGCGACAAAGGGCGTCGGCAACGTGGCCAAAGATACCACTGGTGGCGTCGGAGATACTGCACGCTCGGCTACCGGGGCGAAGCAGGATGCTCAGAACCCGTTGGGGTTGAGCGAGTAGGGTGATGGAGACGCAGAGTTGGGCGGACACGAGAGAGGGTGGCGGAGTGGAAGACTTTTGGAAGGTGGTAGATGGGTAGGCAAGCAGGTACATATTAAGCTGCAAACACGCTAGGACATCTCTCACGATTACATAACTTCACTGCCGAATCAGACGTATTCGAACATTCACTACTCACAGATGCGCCAAGCCTAGACTTCACTTTGGGTGTTGGGGCGAGAAGCACGAGTTGTTCCGCGTTGTTCCTATCCCTAGCTCATGCGGCTTCCACCTCTACCCCCTGCGGTGACTCTATCAGTTTTGGGGAGTGGACGGAGTACACCCAAGGAGTCGAAAATATTAGGTGGGTCATGAAACCCGCTGGAACTCTGGCCTTCACATCTTAAAGAAGTCGGCCTTGCCGAAGGAACATGCACGTGCACAGAACATCACGCGATCTCCGGCTGAAGAGCTACGTGTAACGTCTCCGTTGCCCATTCTGCTCTGTAGTCTTCAGGCTACTGCTTGCTCTTTTGCTCTCGCATCTTCCGCATATACTGGGAATGGTGGTGCCCACTCTGCATCCACCTTCGTTGTTGAAAACCACCCTTTACACCTTCCTGCTATCTTTCTTGCAGACCTTTTTTCTCCCACATTATTAGACGAAACATGTTATCCACCATCAAATTTCTCTACCCCACGCGACTTTCCTTTTCACGGATGCCTAGGAAATTGAGGTACCTAAGGTCGCATCAAGGCCCTCTCAGGCAATCTCCCGAACTCTCTGTCCTCCTTTCCTTACACTAAACCCCTTTCTCTGCAAAAATTGTCTCTCGGTACCCACTCGGATTGCGTGCAAAGTACCGAACGCTCCACGGCTTGTCGCCAGAAGCCTTGATATCTAGGCGATTATCCGCAACGCGATGATGCTGCGAGCAACAACCCCTATTCTATCATACAATCATCTTTCTTCTCCAGTGCTAAGTCATTGAAATCGGGGTTGGCATTGCATCAATTGCTGTTTCCAGAATGACGACTTTTCAAACCTCCATAGCACTTCTTCTGTACCACCTCACCCTCGTCCCTGCAACATCCCTCCCAGTCCTCTCCCAAGCATTATCCACAAACAACAGCCTGCCCGCCATCCTCATCCCCACCAAGTAAGCCAAGCACCCCAAAACCCCAAAGCGCTCCACAATGACACCAATCCCCCCCGGCAGCCCCACCGCCCCGACCCCCCCACCCGGCTTCTCCGTCCGCCTCAACTTCAACTCCAGCGTGCAGCTCAGACCACTCGAAGTCTACATCTACACCATGGGACTGCTGACCACCCTCTGCTTCTCCCCCTGGACCTCCACCATAACCCACTCACTCGTGATGTCCGGATCGGACGCATCCACCGAAGTCGTCCTCAACCCGCTCCGCCCCTTCGACGACAGCACACTGGAGGTCCGCCACGGGGTCCTCGGCCTGTACAAAGCCGGCGTGGCGATAGCGCAAGGGGGCCGATTCACCAAACTCGACGCTCCACTCTACGTCCGGGATCTGCAAGTCGGCTCCTTGCAAGTCCAGCCGCGGAGCACCCTATCTTCGACCACCAACAACACCAACAACAACAACAACCAACCACAACCACCGACGAACCCAACACCCCCATCATCAAACGACCCAGCCACCCTAACAACCGACTCCGGCACGATAACCGACCCCACAGACCCCAACTTCACCCTGACCTACCACTACGACGGCGTCCGCATCAAAGCGCAAGACATCTTCACCGCCTTCCTCGACGCCCTCGCGACCGCGGCCGAGCACGGCAACGGCGACCCGGCCGCCCACATCCCGGCCGCCCGCAGCGCGGGCGGCGACACGGTGCTGAGCACCTGGACGGTCGGGCCGGGGGCGGCGATGACGTGGCAGCGGTTGAAGCGGGCGTTGTGTCTGGTCTGGACGGCGCTGGTGACGGGGCGGAGGGCCCGGTTTGAGGGGTTGGCGTTCGGGGTGGTTTATCAGGGGGTGGGGATTGGGGGGGGGAGGTTGTTGAGGTTTGATGGGGGCGGTGGGGGGGTTGATGGTGATGGTGATGGGTAAAGTTGGTTGGGGAGGGTTGGGGGGAGGTGGGGTATGTTGAGAGGTGAGATGATGGAGGAGGTTATTGAAGAAATATTATGAAATTGACATCATGCTCTTGTCCGCAAAAAAGCCAACTAATTGAGAGCGGCATCTCAGCGCCTCGAGAACGCTGGTAGCGGGATGTAATACGAAGATTGCTATTCATCCACACTCTGCTTCTGCTACCTGCGCGCGAGTCCCTGTGATGATGACGAGAGCAAGACTGGGTTTTTGGGATGTAGATAGCATACGGTAACGAGGGCCGAGGAGCCGAGTGGAGGATGATATTGGGCAAATGGGCGAATGGGTGAAACCAAAGATAAACCAAGCGCTCATATTCAAGGCGCAGAAGTCGCAGTGTGAAAAGGGATCAACCTGCGTTTTTCATACCGAAGGTAAAGCTGATCTACACGAATTATGGATCCCGAACACTCTATATCAGCTCGACATAGCTTACGCACATGCATAAGACTTCCGTTCTTCCAATGAGCCTTGTCTGACAGTGCAGCAAAATCAGTAAGCGCGCAGCTTCATCTTCATTCGTCTTGAATAAGCCCAACTACTCACTCTCAGTTAGGGTCTGTTCGCAGCACTTGACAGAAGTCATCAAGCGTCACTATTGAGGCTTTCGAAGCCGTTGAAACTTCACCATCGTGCTTTGTCTCACTGGGATTCCTGATTCCCTTCTTGGCCTCTGCATACGCTCAACCTGATACAATGGAAGCTCCTTTAGGACCGCCCATTGTAGTCGTATTTCGAACGGCCTTATCCAATTTCAGCCAAGCTGGCTGGGCTACCAAAGAGGACTGGCTGAGACATCAAGTACACATCGGGCAGCTTTATCGGAAACAACCCTTGCCAGCTGTCATGGATTTTTATGGCAAGCCAGCATGGCTTCAGAGCGACGTACCTGTGAGGAGATAAGGCGCAAAGATATCCCAGGCGTGCACCGTGATCCAGACCCAAAAGGGCTTGCAGTTGATGGTAATGTGGAGAGCCACTGCAGCAACAGACTACCTGCATATCGAAACAATGAATCCTTGCAGCCCGATTGGCAGACTTTTATACCACGGCGCAAGTCGAGTACCCAAGAATGGTTACTGGGTCATCTACTGATGGAAGTGGGAATCCGCAGTTTTCTCATTCTCACCGGCGCTCATCTCTAGGCCCGCGCATCATCGGGTTTGCTATAGTTACTCAACTACACTACCATGAGCTAGCTATGTATGCAACATGATCAAGGATTGCTTGTTCAACACATCTAAACCAACCCAAACTTGATCTTTAAATTGAGGCCAAGTATGACCTTGACTCACAACTTTGATGAAATGCTCAAAGACCTGTAACCGCTCGTGTTGTCTTCTACGCTTGCTCCGATTACCCAAAAGACCGCCGGAGTATCAAGAAGACAAATATACTAAATCAAAGCAACGCAGCTGACGGATGTTCTCACAGTATCTTCCTGAAGTAAAGTGAAACCCAACTTCAATTCCTTCTGATAACCGTGGCGTCTTCACTTTCGTTTTTTTGAGCTTGCTCCAGGCAACCCATACTCGAATCCTCACCTGCTCTTCACGCGTCGTTCCCACCTTTCGGACCACTCCCTCCAATCCTGCATGAGGGTTTCTGGATTGCAACGAGACTGGTCATTTCCGTCACTGCCAACAGAATTGTCAGTCTCAGTGACCGTGTCTTCATCCAAGCAATGGCTCACTCGAGTCTCGTCCGTACGGCGAACATGAGTTTTTCTAGCCGCATCGCTTGTGCGGAGGACAAGGTTCGAGATGTTATCAGCAGCGGTAGTGGTTCGGCGTGGAGATCTGGAAGGAACGGACGTGCGTGATCTCACCGCTCCCTGACCTCTTTCTCTACTGTGGTCCGACATGCTAGACGAAGAATCTCTCTGATGAGCGCAATTCCGTATGACCCCATTCCTCACCACAAACCCATCACAGAATCCGCAAACGACATGAAAACCAACAAGCTGCACGGAGACTTCCGACTCGCGCTGCGAAGCTGGGACGCCTTGCGGAGCGAGGGTAGCTTGGTAATCCGCGCGAGAGATGAGCGAGAAACGTTGGCCGGTCCGCTTGGTGACAACGGCCATGGAACCCGACGGGTGTAGGAGGTTCGCTACTTTACGGGAAAGAACAAGCATCTTGCGTGTGACTCGACGTCCAGCGTGACTGTAACGGTGGCCAGTGTCGCGAGACATCTTGGATCCCTAGCCTGCGCTTAAGGCGCTGTACTTCGATTTTGATATATATATAGGCCTGGGGTTGGGCGAGGCCTGGCTCTGAGTTTGAAGGCTACGGAGCGGTCGCAAAGCACTGTAGAACTGGGACTCTGGTGAATTCTGACGGTAGGGTGAACAGTTGATGCCGAAAAAGATCGGATGGGGAGGACAGCTGCGTATCTAAAGCCGCAAACACAAAGCCACCGAAAACTTCTCTTCGTGCCGTACAGCTAAGGCGACGACAAACGCTTTGTGCGTGTTCCTTTGTCATGAGAGACAAGATAGTCGCAGCCGCGATTTGTATTGTCTCTATGTTCGATTCTTTGTCGAATGAATGCATTGTAGAGAAAATGAAAAAAAAAACATTGCAAGGAGCATAGGAGTTAGAATGTAAGCTCGGACTTGGCCCAGTGAGTTAGACTAGCAAAAGAATCGTCAGAGAGCGATACACATTTTTTTGAAGTCACCTGCCCGTTCTTCGATGATATCGTGTATCAGAAGGCTTGGTCTCTGAAGAGCGAAACCATGTCTCAGAACGCCCCTCACCGCGGGGGTCAGAGCTTGAGACATATCATATGGAGACAATCAGTATCGTCGGACTCAGACAACGCATGCTGCGGATCTCCGTGCTCAAAGAAGTTTTCCTGCTATTATGGAGACTTCAACGGTCTAACGAACAATCGACGCATGACTGTACTAAGTCTTGGAACTGCGATCAAGGAGGACGGGAAACGAAAATTGTAGGCTATTTGAACCTTGACGGGACCAGGAGAAAAACAAGATATGACATGCGCGAACTCTCTTGTGTAGACCGAGACAACAGTCTTGAGCTGCACATTCTCCGCCCGGGACTCGCCTTCGTACCACTTTTTCATATCTATGAACAAAGCCGCCTTCTCCCAGCTAGCTTCCCAAGCATTTTCAACCCCTTCGACGTCTCCTCGCTAACTGCTCCCAGCGCTCAGCCTGAAACTCTTCGGCCTCCATCTTCTCTCGAAGCACTTCCGCCACACCGGGCTCCAACCAGGGTAACTGCTTGAACCACGGTAGCGAAAACAAATTTTCAGGAGCTCCCTTCACCACGCCTGGGACTTGAGGAGGCCACTCATCGCCATCACGTGTCGCCTTTTCCTTCCCTTTTCCGGGCACCCCCCGTGTCCGAGGTCGCGGGACGGTCGCCATTTCCAGCTTTGAAGAAACGCAGACGATGGCTTTTTCGGTGGGTCGCTCGAGAGAACCTGGTTGCATTTTCTGTGACGGTGTCAGTATCAAATCACGGGTTATAGGAACTGTGGCGGCTTACACCGAAGCATTTGATCCAGTGCTTGCCAGTTGAATCGCGACCATCATGTTGCAAGCTCACCTCGCCATGGTTGATGAAGATGATCTCCTGCAGCCAGAGTCAGTCAGAGACTTCCAATAATACCGAAATATGTTGCAAACACACCAGTAGATCCCGTAAATCAGGATCAGGGCCGGTGCCATAGGCCACGGCAAAACGATCCTCGTCATTGGGGCGTTCGACCTTGCGCACGGTTCCGTTCGACGGTTGACGCTCCGCCCACATGATAAGTTGATGGAAGTGGTCCTTGGTACGCTGGAGCCAGAATTGATGTTGCATATCCATGCGAAGGCGGAATGCTTGGTATGCTTCCGAAGACAGGCGATGCACCCGTTCCTGCCCCTTGTGTTGAGTCGGGTCAGGAAAAGGTGGATGGTTCGGTTGCCGTGGTGGGCGAGGTAGTTGTCCCGGCGCCATGTTGTATTCTGGCTTTTGTGTAAACTGAAAATTGCTGAACGGTGGGTTTGGGAGGAGGGAGTTGGTGATGGATAAGAAAGAAGAACAGAGGGCGTCGAGTAGAGGGATCTTCATGTTAGGTTGGTAGTGTGATGTTGGCGAAATGTTGAGAGCGTTGGGTGATATGGTGCAGTGAAGCCGATGGAGCGTAGACGATTGTCTTGGCGTTATGGTGTTGAGCCACTTGAAGTAATTTTTAGGCTAACCGAGGACTGTCTTAGAAAAATTCACAAAAGACCCGAGGAACGGGCAAGTACATCTGGCTGCCTGGGTTGTCAACATAGAGATGCCAAAAATTGCCCGAGTGCGCGTCAGGTGAGAAGCGAGGGGATCGCGCTTACATGTCGTATTTTCACAGGTAAATGGTTTCCCACAAGGGCTCACAGAAGGTATAACGAAGAAACAGTTGTTAGGAACTCCGTATGAAATAGTTTGCATTACTAGACAGGTCACAGGCTAGTAGTTCAGCTGGCAAGAATGAGACTGAAATTGAATTTATAAGCGCTTACATTTCTGCTCAACCTGACCTCTACTGGAACGACCATGTACAAGACCTCTGTGTTTGACTCTGAAAGCTGCAACGAACTGTACTCCTGACCAAGAAAACCCGTAGTGTCTGGGATCTTAAGAACCCTTCATCGCCCTCAAAGTCCCGAGCCTTCCTCACTACTCGACTTCTTTCATATTCTCACTCCATCAGCCTCACCTATTTCCCTATAATAGTGCCCTTCATAAGAAATACCACCATCCCATGTCCACCTATATCTTCCCCAAAGTTTCAGCAAGCACCATCATAAACCCCACCTTCAACTTCCTCATACGCTGTTCATCGAGATTGCCGTTTCCGAGGGCTACGCAAACTTCACTCATTGTGAAGTTGCCCCGGTCGACGGTCTTCTTTGGACCAGGATGTTCTGACTCTTCACCACCGGCTGATACCCTATTCACGATCTTTTCCCCAAAACTTCCCTGCGCCGCTCTGAGCAAGCCAATTTCTTCATCTTGCACTTCACCTTCTTCTGACTCGGCGAATTCCCCACCGTTGCTAGTTCGGGTGAATCCTTCCACACCGTATTCTTCCTCATAATCTTCGAAATTTTCGTCAACGCCTGGTATCTGGAGAACGTTGAATGCTTCAGCTTGGTTGTAGTCCCGAGATAAAAGCTGGAAATCACAGACTGTAGCCACATTTTCATCTTCGCGGTTGGCTACCGAAGTCTCTAACGACCCTCCGTTGTTCTCTAAAGAGTAGCTGCTGGGTCGTGAGGTCATCTCATGAACATTCGAGCTATCATTCACCCGCTCCTCATCTTCAATGCGATTCAAGCTGCCCTTGGGGGTCTCAAACCATCGACCATATTTGACGGCTTTCTGGAACTGTGCTGCCCCATCCTTCGGACTAGCAACGGAAACAGATGTGAATGATGCTGTTTGGAAACCTTTCCTGCTCTCAGGTTCTTCGTCGTCATCGGCTATAATCTGGAACATGTTCGACTGCAAGCCAGCATCCGCGGCTACGGGCTCTTGAAGGCTCGACAGCATCGCCTTCAGCTTTTGATTAGCTAGATCGATAGCTCCAGAAGACTGCACACTTCCGAGTCGCGCCGTTGCGGCACCATCATCTTCTGCGATCTGGAATCCATTCGATTCCGATCTGCTACTAGCGGCTCGGGGTTTCGCAAAGCTTGACAAGATCATGCGCAGCTTTCGGTTGGCCTCCTCGATAGCTTCTGGTGCTGCAGCGTCATGTGTTGATGTTTGCTGCTTGGAGTCTCCAAGTTGCGGGGTTCCTACGCCAGTATTTCCAGGTACTAGACGCGTAGATCCAGAGTGCTGCCCTTTCAGTGCCATCTCCATATCAAAACGCTGCTTGGCAGCTTCGAGCTTGGATATCAGTGACTCAGGTTCTGAAGATCCAGATTCATAATTGTATGGTGGAATATGGTCCATATCAACGGCATCCGGATCCGGGTCTCCGGGGGTTAGGATGCTGGACTTTGGGCATTCGGCATTTTCGGGCTCTGGCTTCTCGATCTCTTCGCTATTCAAGCCTTCCACTCCACCAAGCGAAGCTGAGGTAAATCGGGGTGTTTCATCCAATTTTCCATCCTCCAAATTAGCTTCCAACTCCTCTGGCATCCCAGTCTGTGCAGCTTCCGTCTCGGCCACGCGCATATTCACTGAGCTTGTCTTGGCAAGCTCTGACTTGGCAGAAGCTGGTGGCTGGATGGGACCCGAATGGCTCTCGTGTTTTGTGTTTGGTATTTCTGTTCGCTTCTTTGCTCTTTTTGCTGTTCTAGTGGCTTTCTTATCATTCAGATAAAGCTCCGTCTCCTTCTCTCGTTCAATTTCCTGCCCCAGTTCTTCAATGACGCTTTGCGCAACCACATCCTGGCGCTTCTTGATCAAATCGACGGGAATGCCGCTCTTGTCTATCTCTGCAGCAATGTGAGCCCAGACATCATCTGAACTCGTCTCGACGGAGTAATCTTGATCATTTGCTTGTTCTCTGTCGGGACTCTCCTCGACAGGATTGCATCTCTGGCAATGCCCTATGTCAACTAGGACGACGTTGTGCGGTAATCGTCCTCCGGTGATTGTAGGCATCTCTGCAACTTCAACACCGTCCTTTACTCGCTTCCGGATCATCTTTTTGACCACGGTGATCAGCCAGTTGAGAAAAGTTTGAACGCGCTTAGTCTTGGTCTCTTTGGGGTTTGACCCCTCAGCTCCAGGTGCGCGGTCTTGATGCATCCGAGCACTGATCTGTCTCAGCAAGGTCTCGGTCCGGTTGCACAGACGTATGGCCGCCGTTGCGGTTTTTGAATCAGGTTGAGCGTCAAACTGCGCAGGCGTTGCTTCGACCCGATCCTTCGGCTGCGAACCGTATGCTTCTTTTTTGTGCAAGACTTTAGAAGCTTCTTTGCAGCCTTTCGCACCCAATTTGAGAGCCCATTTTACCACTCTTACTTTTCCAGAAGGCTTCGATCCAGTTGCTGCTTTGTTATTGAGTGTTTTGGCTATACCTGTAGGCCCATAATCACTCAAGCCGCTGGCCCATCCGGCAACTCCAGCCTTTTCGAAAGAAGCAGCTTTTTGCTTATGAGCAGCCGCTTTCGCCGGGACCTGGTCAGACAAAGCCATCTCAGGACCGTCTTGTTCGAATTCTGGGCCCTCGCGAGGAGTTGCATCCAGCGCCAAGAAATCGTTCTCGTCTTTCTCTTCGTCGATGACCTCTGGCTCAGAATGGTGCAAGGTTGCAATGCATTTCTGGCAAAAACACTCAGAGGATAAACGCTTTCCATCATCTGAGAGCTCTGAAATGGACTGTTCTATCTCAGTTGGTGCGGTGTCTTCATCGCTATTCCCGTCTTCTACCTCATCCCCAGACGCCAAAGAGTCTGTCTCCGAGTCATCACCATCACTGATGTCGGATCTTGCGCCTGATTCCAAAGAAACAGTGACAGACGAGTCGTTGTCGCCCTCTTCTCCCGTAATTCGCTTGATTTCTTGATATAGATGTCCGACAATCTGACTAGTGGCCATTGGTCTGTTGACAGCGATCTCGAGACTCTCCGTGATCAAAGACATACGCGTTATGATATCAGCCTCCATCTTGCCTGTCTTGATACTTGCAGAATCGGTCGGTAGCAGCATCTCGATGAACTGCGCGTACATCGCTCGGTAACAGACAAGCTCATCAGGAGTGTTCTCTGGGCGCCCAGAGTACGATTTCGGCTTGTGGGCTTCGATGTCCCAGTTATAGTTGACAGGGTCCCAGTCCCGTATAAGCCAGTTTGGGTACCTCAGGCATCCCACCGATAGCGGTACTGCAGCTACACCGTCCCAGTCAAGAATTCCAGAGAGGGTCCCATCATCGTGCACCAAAATGTTTTGGATATCGAAATCTGGATGTGCAAGTACAAACTGCTGCTCCTTGTGGTCCATGTTGTCAGACAGCTCAAGCGCCCACTTTGTGAAGAGGCCGGCAGACTCACGGACACCTCGGCTGTAGGCACTGTCTCCCTTTTTGTAGCCTCGACGGTTCAACATGAATAAGAGATAGGAGGAAGGGTCGGTAGTAGGACCATTTTCGCACCAAACATCGTGTTCGGGGTAAGGTTCTCCGTCGATGGTATCATAAAAGGCTTTTGCATCCGGCACCTTAGCACCGGCAACATCCACGGGTTGGCCAGCTGAGTCGAATCGTAGGGCCCCACCGCGGTGGAGAGTGAATGTACTGAGCTGTACCATAGCTGCTGCTGTAGTCTGCAAGGCTCGGGCTCGAAATTGCTCACGTTTTGCGCTGGAAGCATTCGGGTCGAACCAACCCTCATATAGTGGTCTGCCTTTGAGGAAATCCATCAATATGTAGGGACAACCGACTTCATTGTTTGACGAGACATCGAAACTATGGACAGCGGGGACTGGAATGGCGATCGATAGCTTGATCATCTTCATGGTGAGAGCCTCCGAGGTCATGGCATCTGCTGCTAGGCGGTCAAAGCGGGCATGGGAGCCATTCGCAGGCACTTTCAGGATCCATTCAACTCCGTCATCGAACAGCACGCGGTATGCAATATTGTAAGAGCCCCGAAGAGGTTCGAGAGAGACTTTGCAGCCTATCACGGTGTTGTCTGTAGATTGGGATGGATCTGTTTGCTCTGTGCTGTCTCGAGCTTGCATGTTTTGTCGGACGGACACAGCGAGAGGGCCGATATTGCCAACCTTGAGTTGGGCGAGCACTGCCCCAAATTGTCTCATGAAGTCATGATCTTGATATGCTTTGCTGCCGGCCGAGGGGTGAAGAGACGTTCGTGCCATCTTTGCATTGGTGTTGGCGGAAGCATCAGCCATGTACCGAGAGTTTGCTGGTGCGATTCCGCGGGATAGATACAATTACTACTGCAGCAGCTGACCGCTTTGATAGCTGTGAAAATCGACAGTGTTGCAAGAGATGTGGAAAGGAGGACGGCCGATGTGGACGGTAAAAATATATTTAGATATATGTGCGCCAAGCATGCCCGATCGACGGGACTATTGACACCTCAACACGTCTTCTCCTCATCACATCGACATTAGGTAATCCGACAGGACGACGCGCCTGAAGCGCGTGTCAGCAAGGCACAAAGCGAAAGATCGCCCCGTAATGCGGGTGAAGTCGATGCACAACACCAACCTCCAGTGTAGCAGAGGCCGTGTCAGAAGCCATGTCAGATGCTGTGTCATAGGCTGTATAGTGGCGAATAGAAGGATGCGCTAAGGTCAACATCTAGTCATGCTTGATTATAAGTGCTTAGGAAGTGATAACCGACTTTTATCTTTCCTCTTCTACGAATCCCCAAGCAAGTATCCTCTACCACATCACCAGCCGTACCTCAAGCTTTTGGATCCAAACCTTTACCGAATGCAAAAGAGTGCTCTCAGATAACAAGTAAGTCAGGTCTTTCAATAGCAGGTGGTTTCTACCGCCTCCTCTGGGATTAACACCACTGACAACTTGAGCAGAACAGGTCTGTCCCAAAGCCAGAAATCCCATTTCTCACAGAGCAAGCGGAGTACGACATAGTTCTGTTCCAGTCTGACTGGTTCGGCGTAACATCACTGACCGTATTACAGGACTTCATCAATGGTGTAACCTATACACGGCTGGTAGTTTCTGTCGTAGAGACAGAGCGTTACCGACTACAGGGTAGTGAGAGCAAGCTCGAATGGCCATCACGTGTTCGGCCCACGTTGCATCATCAAGAAGCACATGGAGCATTGCCCAGAGCATAATATATGGAGAAAGTATGGGGATCCCTGCGAGACCTACGAAGGAATACGTCGTGCAGATTTGAGACGTTAAGAGAAAAAGAAGATCGAGCAGTAGTAGGAAAAGGCTTAGGAGGCTGTCTGGGCTCGGAAATTTTTGTAATCGAAGAGCGTCAGCCTGCTGAGTGCTTGTCTAAAAGAGCTGCGTGATCAATGAGTCGAGGATTAGAGTATCACTAAATCGAGTATATAAATTGCAAACCTAGCTTCTTGTAGAAGGCTGAAGCGTGATGTCTCCAAAGATGAGCGTGAAACCCCACGGATCTGTCGAATCCCGCTCGTCCTCAGTGGTAAGTGTCGATGAAAATGGGCTTGATCCCCGTACCACACGAATCTGTCCTCAATCTCCAGTATCGGACAGTATTGGACGTTGTTAACGCAGCATAAATTCAGGCAGGTGTGATTCGGGACTGGACGTGCAATGTGGACTGCAGGCACTACCTAGAAATCGATGTTGTTCATCGGTAGTAGAGACACCAAATCAAGCATCGGTCATGTATAAGACACGATTGCAGATGTACAATGCTCACCTACAAAGCCCGCTTCAAAGCAGACGGCCACACGGCTAGCACAAGAATAAGCAATGACCTTGCGAGAACGCTGTCCATGATATTATGAAGAATAGATGAGTACTGCCTACTGAATCAGCTCGAGCTCGTAGCGGAACGCCTCTTTGGAAAGTAGAGCGAGTGGGGTGAGGTTCAATTTGGCTCAACGAGCTTTGATATCGTCCCGTAATTAAATTCTTGGCTTGTGTCACGTGATCTAATTCTCCGCCATCATCCCGCGGAGTCATTTAACTCATCCACGCGTTTCAATCAACATATAAATCTAGGCTTTCGAACGAGATAGCCATCGACTTCTCCATAAAGTATGGGCAATTCCGTCTTGCGGATCCTTGTGATCGATCAGGTACTCTATGAAATGAAAGGCCCATGGGACAGGTCACCTAATGCCTAGAATTAAAGCAATACCATTGACCCCGACAGGTCACCTAATGCCTAGAATTAAGCCCATTGCCAACGCCTCGTCCACCATTCTACCGGCCATACCTAGCAACAATGAATCCTTACGAATACACTCAGTCACAAGCGCCCTCTGTACCTAGTCACCATCTTTGCCAGCAACTTGGCTGCACCTAGGTCAGCTGCTTATCCCTGTATCACCCTACGAACATCCCTCAAAGTGCTGTTTCCTTCCCTCAGAATTATAGCTCTCGTCTTCCGAGCTGCAGATTTTTCTCTGGGAGCAAAATCACTCTTCTCACGTCGATCATCCATCAGCCTTCAACATTGCTCAAGCAACTTGAAGAAGCCTTCCCTCAGACGTAGCATACGCAGATCATCGAGATCACCTAACCCGAGAACGTTGAGGATTGTCCAAGTATCGAAGCGACCGCGATCGACGAATGCCACCTGCTGACGCGAGGCATCTTCGTCTTCATCACTGGAAGATTCATCGTTTTGATCTCCATCCTTATCGTCCTCTGCACCACCCTCGTCGCCAGCTTCACCCTTATTGTCGCCTCCGGCTACATGTGCCTCGGCAGGTTCCAAGTCTTCGACTTTTTCACGTATCGCTGGTGTCGTACGGGATTTGATCTCTTTGTCCACTTGGAAACCCTCCACCCATTCTACACTGCACAGGTCGTACACTTTACGGTGCGCGAAAGACTCAAGAAGACCGTGTTCTTGGTCCGAGCCTTCGGTGTGAACGGAATCATGGCGGTCTTTGGTCTTTCCGGTGGCTTCACTCATTCTATCTTCTTTGACTTCATTCTTGTTGCCTTCACCTTCGTCATCTTCACCTACGTCAGGTTCACCTTCGTGTTTTTCTCCTTCCCCCTTACCATCTTCAGCGACAGTATTGACGCTCAGTGCCGACGTCTCTTCCACGACTTCTCCATCATCCTCTTTCTCTCCAACTTCGACCTCATCTTCACTTAGGAACATCACACTGAAGCTAGGAGTTCCGCGGTCGTCACTCCGGACATCGTCTTCTTCATCTTCTTCACTGTGGACTGTACTGTCTGATGTGAGATGCCGCATGCGTCCCGATGCGATGGGACTAGCAAACATGCACTTCAGGTACGAAGTGCCACATCGACCCCAAGCTCGAAGACGGCTTGCAATTTTTTCCATGAGTACCTTGTACCCGGATGTGGATGCAAAGCTAGAAGATGGCGGTACTCGTGTCACTTGAGTAGTAGGTATAGCCACTTCCTTATCGATTAGCGTAGCGTGGCGTCCCAGCGCTAACATTCCAGCTGAGCTGTCAGGCTCAGCATCAGCTGTACTGCTACTCGCCGTCTCAGTGGCAACGGATATTGCTTCCTCCGCGAGTGTTACGTATGCCGTCAGATCCTGGTCTTGCTTCTGCTCTGCCTTGAGCTCGTTAATGATTGTATAAATGACGCATGATGTAATCTGGAATTCATGCTTTCGAAGGATTTCGACGGATACACCACAGTTGCGGACATCGATAGCAATTCGCTCCCATATTCCTTGCTCCTCGGTTTCAGCCTTCTCTTCAGTATACTCAGTAAGCTTCTTCTCCGCCTTAGCCGGTTTGAGGAGATCAGCCTTCCTCGCAGAGATCTCGTCGACCTTTGCCGTAGGTATTATTGATGCTATGTTAGTGGGCTGCCGCGAAGCCTCCATACCTTGAGTGGAAGAGATATCTTTGATCTGTCTAAACTCTCCCTGCATGGCGACTTTACCATGTTGTGTTTCGACTTTGGCCGGTACTTCCGCCACTCTACCGACGGCATCATTCTGAACATGGCCGATCTTGGCAATACTTCTCAGGCAAATTTCAGCCTTATCGCAACCGAGTCGAAGCAGTCTCCACGTCCAACCCAGAGAAGTTGAGCTTGGTTTGTCGCCACGAGAATCAGCAGAGGGTTCCGTTCCCTGCTCTCGGGCTTCGACTTTGCTCAGGAGTGGGGGCTCGGTTACAAAAGCGTCCATGTTGACGGCTTTACCATCGAACTGATTGGTAGAATCGTTAGTTACCATGGCTTGGTCCTCATCATCTATCTCTGTCGCTTTGGTGTCGGTGCTGTCTTTATCACTATTGCTGCAGATGTTGCTCTCGCTGCCGCTGCCGCTGCTGCCTGAAACGTACTCCACTGTGGCACTACCCAGCTTGCGCTCTATCATCTCGGTCTCTATTTCACTATGGGTTGAGAAGGATGAGTCACAGTCGGGCTGTACATCCTCCCAGTCCAATTTTGTGAGGTCTACAATCAAGGCCAGCATATGGTCAACAATATCGGAGGTAACCATAGGAGTGTTCGTAGCAATTTCCAAATTTTTCATCACCAGAGACCGCCGAGTCACATCAGCTTCTTCCTTGGGCGTGGTACCGTGGACTGTGAGATGTGCCGACCCTTTATAGTTGAGCGCAATTTCCTGTTCCATAAACTGCGCGTACATCGCTCGGTAGCACGAAAGCTCGTTAGGTGAGCTCTCATTATATCCAGCTTCTTCCCGTGGCTTTCCCGCACTAACGTCGTAGTCATATTGAGTCTCTATCCAGTCATGCATCAGCCAAATGGGAAACTGGGCGCAGCCGACCTCTCGCGGCACTGCAGCAGCACCATCCCAGTCAATCAAACCGCGTAGCGTTCCATCTTCAGCAACCAGGATATTCTGAATATCGAAATCGGGGTGTGCCAAGACAAAACGGGGCCCGTGTGGTTTCTTTTCGCACGCCCACTCGACGAACATGCGCAGTAAAGCATCAACACCCTTGAGGTATGCGTCATCTTCAGGTCTCGATGGACGACGGTCCAGCATGAAACGAAGAGCGGGTTTTGGATCAGCAAATGGTCCTTTCTCACAGAAGATGTCGATGTTGTTTGGGTTTTCGTCTTCTGAATACCACATGGCATTCGCATCAACGATCTTCGCTCCTCCAACACCGACCGCTTTGCCATCAGAATCGAATACAACCGAGCCTCCATGATCCAGCATGAACAGATTTAGCTGTGCCATAGCCGCTGCAAGGCTCTGTAAAGCTCTAGCCCGAAATTTCTCGAGCTGAGCCTTTGGTTTTTCGTCTTCGTTGAACCATCCTTTGTACAGAGGTGTCCCATCGATTCGCTCCATTAAGATGAAAGGCACATGCAACTCGTTATCCAAAGAACCGTCAAATGCATACACAGCAGGAATAGGAATCGTTGTTGCTTTCTTGATCAATTGCATAGTGCGCGCTTCAGATATAAGAGCCTTGCTTGCAAGCTCACCAAACTGCTGATTATGGCCGTTGGCGGGGATTTTTAGCATCCAGCAAACGCCATCAGTAAACTCGATGGCAAAGACAATGTTGTAAGATCCCGAGAATGGTGCTGAGTTTACTTTGCAGGGTGTGAAGCCGAGTGAGGCCACTATCCTCGTGAGGTTGGTTGCTGTGGAAAGGTGGCCTGACTGGCGCACCGTAGAAGCAAACTTGGATATTGCGTCCAAATCAACGATTGCAAGGATGGATGCGAATGTCGCGCGTTCCTGTCCGCTAATTCTGATGCCATCTGCATGCCGATCCTGCTCGTTGGAGTTCATCGACTTCTGTGTCTTAGTACTAGCCATGACACTGCCACTTCTTTAAGAGCCGACGATGGCGGGTGCGGACTGGTTCGAAGTTGCTGAGGATTGCGGGAAGATGCTAGATGAGTGCACTGACGCTTGTTTGTGATGTTTTGAGCTGGAGAGTGGTGAAAGAATCTGACGCAGTTGGCCGTCTTTTTGTGTACGTCTCATACAAAAGCCTTCCCGATACTGTCCTCCTGTTCAGTGAGCAGATGCCGCAGTTGGAGATATGTTTCGCTATCGATGTGCTTCAATGCCACAGTGATGTCGAGCTTGTGGTATAAATACCTACGGCGGGTGTTGTTGAAGCGCGGAGCGTGTTCTTGAAGTGCAGTGGCAAAGGTCAGACATTGAGTTTAGCGTGGAGAAAGTTGCTAATGGAGACGCGCTAGATGCAAGTTGTTATGGTTTTGAAAGTGTGTTGACTGACGTTGATAGGACTTAATACATATATACCGATTCCGAACACAGTCCCTCGCTCCCTGTCTTCTGTGAAGCCCATCACTCCTAGATTTCTCACCCCTCAAAAATTTCAACAAACATCTGTGACTACGCCCAAGCCATGGGTCAAAACCCTCCTCTACCTCCACCCTACCTCGAGGACAACTTGAAGCTCGCGGCAGAATTGAAAGTACCAAGGTTTGTTGGATCTTGTTGACATCTACAGATACTCTGCTGACAATTATCCGGTAGACGCCCAAGCGGACATGTATCAATGAAGAGCCACCACTGGTACTGCCTACATGAGAGACTCACAGACTTTCATCGACAATCTCTGATCAATTGTTTAGTGGAAAATGTCACGGAGTGTTCAAACAAACATGCATCGACGCCAAGCACATGGTCCTTTGCCTCAAACACAAGACGTATTCGAAATGGGAGGGCCAATGTCCACCATGCGAGCGAGAGTGGAAGACTCAGGAAAAGGAAATAAAGGAAGCAGAAGCCGCTCTGAAAGCCGACAAGGAACAGGAGGAGGCGCAGGCTACGAAGATAAGTAAGAAGACTAAAAAGACGGGGAAAGATGGCAAAAAACTGGGTTCCAAATGTGTGCCCGGGTGGGTGGAAGCGAAGAAAGGGGATCGCAAGTAGTGGACCCTCAATCTACATCCTGTCTTTTCCAACAGTGGATCAACATGGAGACGACGGAGACTGTCGTGAACCCCTATATTATTCAGTCCTCCTTATTACTTCCCTCACACCGCCAGCAACTATAAGATTGAGAAAGATCCAACTCCAAAGTCGGAGGTTTACGTACCCACAACCTGCTTAGTGTTCACAGCAAGATACCCCCTGCGACCCTGGCACGCTGGGCAGCCGGTGTGGTCATTATTCATCCACAGTGGGACTGGGGGTTGGTGGGTCTCATGATATAACCGCTTTTTTCACGCATGTGGCTATAGCAGTAGACACCTATTCATCATGGCCTATATAGACATCCCCTCATCAACCCCTACACAGACACCTCTTCTGCACCAGCAAGTGGCTGTTCATTCATATTCATCTCTTTCTGAACCATAGTATACTTTGACCCACCCATCCGCGCTTGTACATGACTAGACTTCCACTCCAGATCTACGTCGTACAGACATAACACTTTCCCTACGCTGAACTACGAGAATATGCCTGTTCCGACCTCTGTTCGGACTTCCTTAGACTTACCATCCCCGGCGTGAGATGGCACAACCACTTGTTCACATCCTACGTGGGAAGTATATGTGTGAGTGGGTGGGATATACGTTTTTCACACATGGAACAACTAAGTTGACATTTACTTGGCAACAGGCTTCGTGGATATCGATGGAAGTTTTTTGATAAATAGCTTTCTGTCTAGTTCGTCCAGGCTGCATACAAAATAACCTTCAAGCAAGACTTTTAGCTTCCTTTCTGGTGCTTCCTAGAATAAGAAGGTTTGACCATATCTTTCTAGGCTCTTGATTTGGGTAAGTTGCTATTCACGGACCCTGTAGTCTGAGTAATTACCTCAGAGTGGCGAAAGGTTTTTGTGTTACGCTGAATAAGAGTTTCAGTGCCACAGTATGACCCCATGACCTGGCTCTCGACACCTATGTGTCGATTAGGACAAGGTCCTCTACTAGCCTCTTGATGTACCATATATATTGCACTCCATAGCCGCCATTAAAATTTCTTTGTATTACACTACACACATACCAACGCAGTTATAGCTCGTCAGTAAGAAACAAGAGGTAGTGTCCATGGTGCCGAGAAATTGAATTGCAAAACTTACTGAGACATTAGGTAAATATATAAACATAGTTATGGCATCTCGTGCACGGCCGCTGCTGCCACAGGGAACACTCACCACCCTTCTACTTTTCCACTTCCATTAGGGAGAAAATCCTCTACAATATATCCCACCACCAAGCCTTTCAACAACATTCGCCACGTCTTTGAAGTTTGCATCCTCTCTTCCGAAATTGGCTCCTGCGATCCTCTCTGATCTGTCGAGAACGCATCAAGGCTTGTCTCACCCAGATCACATCATCGAGCTTTGATGCTAACATGATGTAGCTCAAAACGCCTTGACCTAAACACGACAAACACTCAAAGGACGTCAAGACGTACTAGGGTATGGCACGCCTTACAGACTTATTCCGGTCCCTGTTTACGTTGCCACGGTAGGAAAGAAAAGTAGGAGGCAGCCATCACCGCAACGGCTACAAGAACACCAAAAACCGGATGCTACCTAACTCTTCCGAGCTGGTGTGGCAGTACCAATATCCACTTTTTGCGTTGAGATACACCACTTGTGCCAGTGCCGGATCCACCCCAACCACTTTTGGAGAAAAAGTGGTAAATGCATAGAATCCATGGACGAATGGGACCGAAGGGAAAGAGCACAGAGGGAGCAAGATCGCGTGAGGAAGCTAGAGAGGAAGGCTAAGGACGCCGGTAACGCTGACTTCGCGAACACAAATAATGATAACCAGAGGGAAATCATCATGAAGCCCGAAAAACCTCGACAAACAGCGACTGCCAAAGCCGGGGTAACTCAGAAGTCACGAAAGTGGCCAAAGAGGGAGAAGCAGCAGGTCTCCGGGGCACAGTTGGCTCCAGAGGCGGAGCAGGGTCGCAAAGGAGAAAGGAAAGGGCAAAGCCAAGACTCAAGCAGTGTTGGAATCAGCCAATAGGAGGCCAGCATGGCTACACTACTAAGTTCCAAATAGGTGTTATTACTACTCCTCATGGTGGCAAAGACACAAGTGGCAAATAGCCTTAGTGTGGACTTCACACCATAAATAGATAGTCAACCTCCATTCTTCTTATATACTTTATAGAATATCACAATAGAATAACTATTCTACATGCTATGAGATTACTGAATGCACACATTATCCAATAAGCAGGATTTGGCAGCAAGCGAATAGTACTACGGATGCTTAGTATAGAGAATCATGGCTTTCAAGCACGTTCGAGCAAGGGCGCCGCATTCATTACTTGTCTGGGGAACGCGCTTGTAAACAGCACCTACCTCCTCTCATTCGACACTTTCAACGCCTTAGTGTACCACGAGGAGCCTATATCTGGAGTCTTGGAAGAAAGCATTATTTTGTTAGATCTAGAAATCTTTTTGCATTCACATTTTCTTCCAAGTCCACAGTATAGAGTCCTCAAAGTATAGAACTCAATCTGCAAGCATGAGCATTAGTATAAACTTGCATCATCTCTATCCAACGATTAAACCGCAAGATATGCTATTACATGGGATAGTCATTCTCGATTCGTGATTCTTTGAGTCTTGTCGACGCTTGTTGAAGATCTAGTAATTTAGACAGCGCCCGAGAAAGATTGCCTCAATGGTCTAGCTATGTATGCAAGCCAATCATCGAGTCTAAATACAATCATGACCATAGGTATCTCTCTCGCTGCAAAGGAAAAAAGAAATACCCTGTCTCTACCATTATCCATGCTTCTCGGCGCTTTGACTCGCCAGAGCCAGCTGAGCTTTATGCCGTCCCCAAATATCGTATGTAATCGCTTCACCATCACGTGAAGAAAGACCCTACACATCGCCAAACTCCTTGGAGTCCACTACCTCGTCTCACATTGCCCTTGCTAACGACCCACGACGTGATGGCCTCCAGCACTTGAAACGCTCCTCTTTATGCCTTAGAGTGTTCACCTCCATCCCCACCTTCTTCGACAGCATGTGACTCCCCCCCAAACCCTTCATCGAGCCTCAATACTGCTCAAGTAGCATCAAAAACCCCTCTTTCAGGCGTAGCAGGCGCAGCTCGTCGAGTTCCCCCATCCCTAGGAGGTTGCAGACGGTGTAGCGATCAAATCCGCCATGATCCTCGAATTCAGGTATGCCTGAGTCACCCAAAGATTCAACCCCTTCGTCGCCGCCAGCTTGATCCTCATGGCCGGATTCAATGTTCGCATCTCCTTCATCTCCGCCGTCATCGTCATCTATCATTTCGGCGAGTCGTGCTTTGTCACTTGTTGTAGTTGTGCTTCCAACCTTGGTTGGTTTGTCGAAATTCTTTGCCTCTACCCAATCTTCAGTGCAGGGGTCATACGTCCTTCGAGATGCGCAAGGCTTGATGAGCCCGTCTTCCTCGCGCGAGCCTTTGGCGAATGACGCATGCTTGTGGTGGTTCGTCTGTCCCATCGCTTCGTTTATTCTACCTTCTTCGCGTCCCTCTTCGTCAAACTCTTCGCCATCTTCATCTCCACCGCATCCACCTCCGTTGCCTTCGTTGGTAGCAATGACTGCAAATTCTGGCGTATCATCTTTATCTTCCTTGATTTCATGGTTCTCTTCATCATTGACTTGGTCGTCACTTAGCGAAGTGGCACTAGAATGAGTATCTTCGACGTCGCTTCCTCCTTCTTCTTCATTACCACTCTCACTGATTACACTGCTTTCCTGAGACAAGCATTCTTTGTCTTCCTTGGATTGGTTGCGGTTAAAGAGGATCTGCGTGAAGTACGAGGTCCCAAACTTGCAAAGAGCTCTAAGGCTGTAAGAGGTTTTAGCGGCCGCCGGTAGCACACATTCTCTAGACGTAGATGAGGACCCGGACGATGTCTGCGATTCTCTTACTTTGGTGAAGTCTCTAGCCGCTTCTTCGTGGAGCATCTTGTTCTTCTGCCCAATGTTGAACGCAACAGCAAAGTCATCTTCTTCGGGTGGTACTTCTGGTTGGTTCGTTGAAACAGGATTGTTGGGGAGAGTGTTGAATGCAGACCGTTCTGATGAAGAAGGATTCTCTTTTCCCAATGCAGGCGACGTCTTGTCCCCTTTAGCTGTCGTCGGCTTTTTCGTTCTCTTCTTACTGCCATTTGACTTCGAGGTACGGGAGTTCCGAGCAAGACACAACCCAGCTTGAGGCTGTGGTGTGGACAAATTGGCATTGGGCGACTCTGACTCGTCTTTGTTGTCTTCGAAGATTTCGAAGACGGTGTTCTCCGGTGCACGAATAGCTTGACATGTGGTATTCGAAATTTTCATGGAAATCCGGTGAGCCTTCGACTCAAGTCTACTATTCTCTGCAACACCGGTAATGGTGACCTTGGACGTCCTCGACGGCTCATCGCCGTTGACCTTCGCGGTCTGTGGCACGTCTTCTTCTAGCCGGACTTCCTCTGGTTCCCCTTTTGACTGCATGGAATTGTCTTCAAGACGGCTCAGAGCAGCTGCACTGCTATCTACCATCTCGGCGGCGGCAGCGGTTACTTCAGTCGCTGATGGGAGATGAGTACTCACTGCTAGACCATCCTCATGCTCTTGCTCCGAGCGGATCATATCGACAACCGAGCTAGCAATCTTGCCCTGGTTCAGTTGGAGCTGCTCGAGAGAAATACCGCGACGCCAAACCGCAAGAGCAATGTTCTCCCACACTTTTAGCTCTTTCTTTATTGCCGCTTTGTCAGCAAGATAATGAGCCTTTCTATTCGCCTTCTTCACCGCCCTCGCTGCTTGCAGGAGCTCAGCCTTTCGTAACAGAATGTCTTGCGGCTCTACGGTGGGTGGGATAGAAGCAGATCTTTTGATCTTGTCTGAAATGATAATCGTTTGAGTTGATGGGATTTTCTGCACATCTGCAGTGGACCCGATCGACCCAACGTCGTTGATCTGCTCCGGCCCTCTCGTACCGTTAGTTGACAGGGTGTCTTTGAGTTGCTTCGTTCCCATCTCTTTGGAAAGCTCAATCGCATTTATTTGCTGTGGAGTGTCGAGCTCCCCCAACTTCCCAGAATTTTTTTCCGCAACAGTCACGGCAGATTGTACTCCGGCTTCAGATGATAGCTCTGCGGCTTCGTCAACGGCTATTTCTGGGACATAGCCGATCTTTGCTAATTTCCTCAGAGATTTCTCTGCAGTGTTGCAGCCAAATCGAAGGAGTCTGCGTGTCCAACCTAGATGAGCTGATGTCGTGGAGCAGTCTTCTTCAGGATCCACTTTGGATGCTTTGTGCGTCTTGGATTTGCCAACGTCTGTTTGAGACGCCCCCAAAGGGGCCGGGAATACTCGATCCTGTGCCCCTGCTCCCCAAGAGTTGTTTATGACCTTGACAGTCACTTCAGGCACAGTGAATTCCATCTCTTTAGATTCCTGGTCTGCCCCATGAGCAGAAACACTCACTCTCATACCAATCGAGCCTTGCTCGTCTGTTTCAGGAGCTTGGGGTTCTGTATCTTCTTCTTTGATACTACTGTCAACACTCCTGCTAGAGTCACTTTCAGAGTCACTGTCAGAGTCACAGCCACTGGAAAATGAGGAAATGGAATCTGTGTCCTCCCATCCAGGAGCTGTCAGTTCCTCGATCTGATCGATAATGTGATTCACAGTACCCAAAGCAACCCAAGGGTCACCTGCTGAAAGATCCAGGTTCCTCATGATCAAGGATCTGCGTGTCAAATCGGCTTCCTGCTTTGGTGACGTTCCGAAGGTAGTCCTCTTATTTGAACCACCGGTCATCTTCTCAATCTCCACTTCCATCAAGTGGGCGTACAAGGCGCGATAGCTTGCAAGCTCTGCAGGCGAGCTCTCTTCGTATCCGGCGCGTGTACAAGCTCTTCCTTTGTCTATATCGTACTCATACCGTAATGGCACCCAATCGCGCATCAACCATAGCGGATACTGGGCGCATCCAACTTCACGGGGCACGGCTGCGACTCCGTCCCAGTCAATCAAGCCGGTCAATGTACCGTCTTCGGCTACCAAGATATTTTGGACATCCAGATCAGGATGGGCGAGGACAAAACGTCGGTCATGATCTCGAGAATCGGCAAAAGCCCACTCGATGAACAGGCGAAGAGACCTATCGGTCCCCCGCTCATATGCATCAGCTCTGAAAGCAGGGTCAGATCTGTCTAGATTGGACATGAAATATTCTTTCGGGTTGCTGAATGGGCCACGCTCGTAGATGATGTCATCATCATCGCTCTTGTCGGCGTTGATCTGACTACACCCAAATGCGTTAAGGGTGCTGGATTTGGCTGCTTCGACACGAAGATCATCGGGGTTGCTCTCGTCGCCCTTGTCGGAGGTTGTTTGATGGACCTGAGATGCTCTGGCCTTGTTGAATATAGCTACTCCATCCACTACCTTTGCACCACCAAGACCAACAGGAGTACCATCAGGATTGAAAACAAGAGAACCACCAGTATTGAGGGTGAACTTGTTTAGCTGCACCATAGCTCCAGCAAGGCTCTGGAGGGCTTTGATACGAAAATGCTCAAGACGAGCCTTCGGCACCTCGCTATCGAACCACAGATGATATAACGGTCTACCATCCAGCTTCTCCATTAGAATGAAGGGAGTCAAGAGATCGTTATTAGAAGATGTATCGAATGCGTAGACTATTGGGACTGGTATGCTGGTCTCTCTTCTAAGCATCTGCATAGTCCGTGCTTCGGATGCCAAGGCAGCAGCAGCAACGGAGTCGAAGTGATCGCCTTTGGCGGGAATCTTGAGCATCCACTTCGCTCCATCCGCGAATTCAATGGGAAAGACGATATGGAAAGATCCATAGAGAGGAGGATTGATGACCTTGCAGCTGATCGAGCAAGGCTCAGACAGACCCTGGATAGGGCTATTGACTGTAGAGCGATGGCCGTACTGGCGAACATCAGATGCGAAGTCGGGAATCTTGTCGAGCTTCATGGTTCGCAATATTCT